TAGTTTACCTATATAAGTCTGACGAAGTTGATTTATTGAAAGTTTAATTTTTAGTTTTATAGATTATTTACAGAAGTTTCTAGTTTGTTTATTTTATATGAAGTTCATAATAATATCTTGTCACATCTCACACACGGCCGTCAGATCCCAAACTAGGCTGAGCTTATACTATGCTAACCAGACTGCTGAAAAACATACTCAAATATTTTTAAATACAGACATATTATGAAGGTGTACTAGACACATGTTTGAAGAATAATTTTGTATAACCGGCTTTTTCAAGATTTATAACTTAAGTATATGTATTGCTAAAAGAAAAAAAGACTGATTTTGTCATTTTTTTGTCCTTTTCTTACCTCTTATATGAGTCATACAATATTGGGGCCTTCCCAGGATCCCGAGATTAACTGTAGATAATCCCGGGATTAGAAGAATGGACCGGGATCGAATCCTCTACATGTGATGCTGCTTGTTGTCAGTCAAGTTAGCAACATTGCCATCTCGCCGGACTTCATGCAAAAATATGAAAATCGTGTAATCAAGTAAAGTTAGGTTAAAATTATGAAACAGGTCGGAGTCATTTTCTTTAAACAAGACAGATATTTTATTACTACGTTTAAATGTAAAGATATATTATATTATTTTATTCTAATGCAGACATCATGTACAATCCATTTTATAATAATATTTTGTTATTCTAATGATAACATTCTAAAGCAAAATATTTATATGCTTATGTTCAGCATAAAGCCACTGCATAAGTGAAACGTTTTGTTCACCGTCAGATTTTTTACAAAAAAAAAACAAATTTATAGTCTTTTGTTTCGTTTGTGTTAAGCGTGTACGTTGAACTCCCGAGTAGCAATTTCAAATTTCCTATTGTTGAAAAGTTTACGAAAGGGGTCTAAATCGGTTTCTAAAAACAAAATCATGTGATTACGAATATAAATGTAATGCAATTATGTAAATACTTGGATTTCGTTTTAAGTTACTCTAAAACAGCATTGCAATCCACTCAAATAAATTACTTTTTTCGTTTTTCTGTAATCATTTGCCAAATTATAATTTCTAGGGTAAATAGACCTATTTGCCAGTCGACTTTAGCTCTTGCAGAAAATTACATTGCCGAAAGAAGTTGCTGCAATTCATCTAGCATAAACCAAATTTTATGTCAACGCTTCACGGGCGTCATGATGAAGAGGCGGCGAAATAACGACCATTGTCTACTTCTAATCTTAAGATAAGGCTTATATACATAAAAATAATATCATCATATCAAAAAGAGAAATATTTACGCCCACCAGTAAACAACAAAATCATTATTCTCGATTTAATAAATCGACAACATTTCACTGAAGCATCAATGATAAAAAAAAAAACTAATGCAGATTTCACCTCCCATCATGTCTAATGTTAAAAACTAGCTGTGGTAGGTGGTTAGGTATAAATTTACTTATTGCTTTAAGGAAACTTATGTTTCTACTAATATTATGTCAATTAAACTATAGTAGTCATATTTGATCGTACCTAAGTATGTATAGCTAAGTTCTGTAAATTTAACAAATTTCAATTTTTATTTCAGATTTTCTGTCTTACTTCCTTTTAAATATTCGTATTTGCATCAAACGAGGAAGGAGACTAAGTATATTTTATTTTTGGAGCATATTCTTACGTTTCTTAGGTTCAGATTTTAGGAAATTAATAATTTCCCTTATTTGTATACGTTTGTATACGTTCAAATGCACTACAAAAGACCATTTTGTTATGATCTATAAAACAATCGATGATGTGCGAAGTACATCAACTATTATATAAATAATCAAAAAGAGGTCTTGGTAAAAATTAATGTAGCGTCAAATCACAGAATATCTCAAAATCTAGTCATGCCAACAAGAAGCAAAGTTTGCCAATCGCCTTTCCCATTCCTTTTCCTATTTTCCATGCTAATTTTTGAAATATAATACTTAATGTAAACTTGTATTCATAATTTAAGAATATTAATAACTTGTAGTTTCTATTCTTAGATTAGAATTATGCTAAAGTAAGTGATCACTATTCATGAAGGAAACGCGTTGAGTGTAAGGATATAATCACATAAATGTTTTTAAAAATGTGCTACTTCGGACATAATCAATATATATCTAAGTATATGATATTCGGAGTCTAAGAGTAAATAAGTTATCGTTACCACCTCACATTAAATCTACTAGATAATTTACAATCACTTCGTATATTAGTTTTACGTAGCTTAGATACGTTATACATTACCTATAGGAGAATCAAAGAAGGTGGCATCATCGTGCATCGAGTAAAACAATGTCCAACTCTTGCGTACAATATACATATATACTTATCATTGCCCGCATTTATGAAAGCTATTTTTATGATACACAGATGTTTGCATGCGTCCATAATTTACATATTGTTACGTCTGTCTCGCCGAGTGAAAATAAACAATCGACAGATCCGGCAGTAACATCTAATCACCCTGAGTGGCTCACGGCTTAATGTCATATCGCATTAGTGAATTGCTATTCTAAATACACACAGCTGGGTCTCGAGCTCGGCCTTGCGCTGACGCAATTCCAAAGAAAGTGAAATTAAGAAACCACCAAATCATAGTGTTATTGAATGAAAAGTCCGTCGATTGTTGCGGTGGTTTGTCAACAGGTAGGTCGGCAACTTCGGCCACAACACGCTTTCTCGACTCTTACCACTGTTGTAGATCAGATGTAACTAGTTTTACTTAATTGACCAATAATTATTCCAACCCGTAATCTAATACGTCTAGCGGAAACGGTTTTGTATGATGTTGGTATATAAACTTTCCTTTTTAGATTTGCCGCGATTGCGATTTTCTCAACCGTATTTTCCATGCTTGTTTTATTTGCCATTTAATTTTTGCTATGGGTGTCGATCAATTCAGATAAAAAATAAAAATGATTTAGACAAGAGAGCTCTGATATGAACAGATAATAAAATAGGTCGTCGCTGTGAAGTGAACTATTTACATTATACAACATTCCATTTTTCTTTAAGCAAATTAGGCAATGCATTAAAAAAAGTTCGTATTATGCACATTGTGCAAGGTTTAGAATAGATGCAAAGTCAGGCGGGGACGTATTACTCGCGTACCGTCGACGGGCTTTAGAATACACTTCAGAGGATAGCATAAGCGCACAAAATAATTTTTGCTATTCTAAACGTATAGCTTCCCCACGTTATGCGTTATGAAGTAAATTCTCCTGCTAAATCTGAAATAATAATATTTAAGAAAAAGCAAATAAATACGTATGTAAGACTTTTTGTGTCAAAAAAAATCAATTGAGGTTCTTCACACAGTTTCAACTATGAGAAATAAATATGAATAAACTATAAACCGTTGCTGGGTACAAGCTATACCCATCACTTCACATCACATCACACACCCATACGAGGGGTGATCAATAAGTAATGATAATCAATATGAAACAGAACTATTAGATTAAAAAAAGTATTTTATTTTTCAACATAGTCTCCTTGCAAGTTAATACATTTAGTGTATCTTTTTTCTAAGCCCATGATTCCCTTAGAAAAAAATTCTTTGTCTTGACCCTCCCAAAATGCCTCTACTGCGGCCATCACTTCACTATTGTCCTCAAATTTGTTGCCCCGGAGGTGTTCTTTGAGCCGAGGAAAGAGGTAGAAGTCACTGGGAGCTAGATCTGGCGAATAGGGAGGGTGTTCGAGCAGTTCGAGCCCCGTTTCTTCAATGGCAGCCATCGCAACTGCGGCTTTGTGAGCCGGGGCGTTGTCTTGGTGAAACAGCACTCCAGCGCGCAGTTTACCGCGTCTTTTTGACTTAATAGCTTCTCGCAATCTTCTTATTTGGCCTGCGTAGTAAGAGCCTGTTATAGTGGCCCCCTTTTCCAAATATTCCACCATAATAATTCCTTCTGCATCCCAGAAAACAGACGCCATAACCTTTCCCGCTGAACTTGACACTTTGAATTTCTTCGGCGTTGGTGAGGAAGCTCGTTTCCAAGTCATTGATTGTTGTTTGGTTTCGGGATCAAAGTGGTGGATCCAGGTCTCGTCCATGGTCACAAAACGCGACAAAAAAAATTCTTTATCGGCCTGGAACTTTTGAAGATTCACCCTCGAAATGTCGACTCGTTTCTATTTTTGCTCGTCGGTTAACATTCTCGGTACCCAACGCGCAGAGACCTTTATCATATGCATTTTGTTGACAATGATTTTTTGAACGCTGCCATAGGAGATCCCTGTGACCTCAGCTACATGCCTTACGGTCACCCTTCGATCGGCCAACACGATATCTTCCACTTTTTTGACGTTTTCTCCAGTAAGGGACGTGGAAGGGCGTCCCTCGCGATGTTCATCTTCAGTGGAGGTTCTGCCCAGCTTAAATACCTTTGCCCAGCGTGCGACTGTGGAATATGGAGGAGCAGACTCCCCCAATGTTTCCTCTAAGTCGCTGTGTATGTCTTTGGTAGACATTTTTTTCAGGCAGAGGTACTTGATGACAGCTCTTATTTCATTTTTCTCCATTTTGATGTTTTCTCTTCGACAGTTCGTATTCAAATGAATGTATCTCCCGGTAATGGTGTCGTATTTATACATTTTTTGAAGCTGAAGTAGTGGATATATAAGCAAGCAGAAAAATAATAATTTGGGTTTTTGTGCGTTCTAGAAATACTCGATTATCATTACTTATTGATCACCCCCCGTAATTACATTATATTAATAAACATAAGCAACTTGGCCACAAAAGTTGTTCACAATGTGTCATGAACTTACAGATAATGATTTTATTAACCATCAAAAAAATATTGTTTCCAATTTGAAATCGACACATCAGACACATCTCTATGTCGGGTTACATAATTGACCATTATTATTAAAGATGAATATATAATGTAAATGCTTAATTAATTAAGCTATCTTACAATTTTCGATGTAAAAATATTTTTTTCCAAAATGTGGTTCATTTCATTTCGTCAATGGCTAAAAATAATTTAGCAATGACTTATAATGCAACACCAAACACAATGGTTGTAGAGGAAGACAGAGGTGGATTGTGGACGTTAGATCCGGGGGACGCACTCGGCCATAAAGTAATTTTACGCTGGGGCGCACGGCGACATTATTTTGTGTTCTTTTGAAAACCCTGTCGGCCATTTACGGAATACCATGCTATTATTTGAGTATGGTATTCCGTAAATGTAGATAACGTATTGCCTACTCCCTACCAACTCAGCCTTTTATCAGCTGTCATAGCATATGAAACTATTGGAGTACTACCGCAGATTACTTAATCTTACCATTTTGTGTCTTTGCAACATTAATTTAAAAAGTAATGTTAACAGAAGTACTAATTTATTTCCAGACGGGCGGTGCAGACAGCGCCAGCGGCGGATCGGGCGGTTCGGGAATGGAGTGTATCCAACTACGCTCACCTCCAGGACCGTTCCATTACCTCATTTCGGAGCAGGCTAAATCCCTCGTCGCTCTACAGGTCAGTAACAACAAACTTGAAGTGTTTGTATTTATTTACCTATAGTTGCTCTCGGCCGTATTGTAAAAGTGATGTTTACATCCTACTATTACAGCAGACACAGCAGTGCTTTGATACCAGTATATTACTAGTACTTTAAAACTGTCAAAAATGTGTCAAAAGAATAGAAAAAAGTAAATAGAAATACTAGAATTCATGCAACAATACTGAATGCTACTTTTGTAGTAGTCAGATTATGTTATCTTATGACATTACTCAAAATTTATAAGTATACGAGTATACTCGTATACTAACGAATCAAAAAGGCAAATTTACCTACATATTTTTCTATTAAGTAACGTCACTCATGAGATGTTCCTATCGAACAGGAACTTCAGAATGAAGTCGGAGCTTTGCTCGAGTTTCGCGACCTCGTCATCGAGACATTCCCGAACCTGCGCTCGAAGATGGCGCCATCCACGCCCGCGAGCGGCACGCGCCGCGACTGGGAGCCCGGCGTACGAGTGCGCCGCAAGCTGGCGGCCGGAGGAGGCGACGCCGCGCGCGCTAAGCCTCAGCCCTCCGTTCAAGACTCCGGGTTCAGCACTGAGACATCTTGCGGCAAGGTAAGATTACAAATACTTTTGTAAAAGCTTATATCCTGTAACAAGATTTAAAATGAAAAAAAAAAACAGTTTCGTCGATATTAACATACAGCTCTCAAATCTTACACGAGTAAAATAACAAACTTTGATCTCCTTTCAAGGATGCCCATTCTTCCTCTGCTTCTGCGTCCGCTTCAGCATCTCGGTCCCGTCCACTCGAGGACGAGCTTTGGGCTCTCCTGGACGTCATCCAACGAAAAGGAGTACGACTTCGCGACGAAGCGGAACAGTTGCGCGGGGAACTTGACGATAGACAACCTGTCGACACTGTCGAGGAATCATTCGCAAGAGCGCTATCTAGTGGCACCTGCAGCGAATGTGCTGACACATCTCGGATTCGGGCAGAACGCGACGCTTTGCTTATCCGTGCGGCAGCGTTGGAGGCTGCGGCAGCGACGGCAACAAGCTCTCCGGGTCCGCCACCGCCGCCGGCCACCCCCCTGGGCCGCCTTGATTCCGCGCTCGACACTCCTTCCCGACCCCCACGCGTCGCCACGCCCGACTCCAAGAAGTTCGCGGCGATTCTCCTCGAGAGTAATCCTGTCGAACTTCAGAGGCAACTGCTTACCTCCACCGTACAGAATCAGGTACGTGAAATCTGCTTCTAAGAACATAAGTACGTAGTAGTTTTATTTTTAAAGGTCATAATTTTAAAAGGTATTAATAAAATGATTAAATTGATGAAAGAAAATGGCCAGTCTTTCAATATTAGCTATGTGTATCTTACCATGTTGAAACTGTTTTTATAATTACACAACAGAAACCATGAATTATACTGTTAAGTTTAAATTTAGGTGATGTTGGTAACTGTTGACGTGTCACTTTTCGGAAGTTCCATATTTAGGTCATTAGAAATCTGTTGCATTAACAAAAAATATAAAAACAGTTAGCTGTTAATTGCAGAACGAGTGAGGTAACGAAGTACGTGCTAGTCGTTCTTCAGAACTGTCATTGCACTAACGAGTGGAAGGTGTGACGTAACCACAAAGATTTCGGCAGAATTACGTCGAATTGTGCTGCTAATGGAGTGTGGCGCGACGGTCGACCACTGCCTTAATGGCAGTGGTCGACTTCACAAAATCTACTTACTTAGTTTTTTAACCTATGTGTATTACAATTTATTTAAGTATTTTTTATTTTGCATAACGTAGGCATACAGTAATCAATTTCAGATGGATGCTTGAAAGATACACAATTAGCTACAGCTAAATTTCTACAACGCATTTATAAATGCTGTCATTAACCCGGCAAAATATCTTACGAGGAACCCGTAAAATTATTTATATGTGTTAGTGATACGTATGTAGATTTTGTTTTTTTTAAATAAAATTAAATATTTGTAAATGCGTTTTTAATTGTTTTTATCTATTTTCATCGTTTAATGTTTTAATGTACATTATAACGCATAGTTAGTCTTAAAATTATCAGATAAATGTATGTATGTATATTCTTAGCCATTATGCTACGTTGTGCCTCACAATCCTTGGCAAATCGCTGCTTTCCATGCATTTCCCTTATATTATTTGCTATTACGAAATGACTTGCATTGTAAAATGTGTTGTCGCCTATTCATAAACGGTAGCTTACAGTAAAATCTATGTTCGTAACAGCAGTAAATACGCTTACATGTTATTGTTACAATAATTTATTCAGTAGACCATTCCAGCATACTTAAAATTATTTTATCTCTGTCTAAGTTCTAAGTTTTATCTCTGTTAATTACATACACATGTGTATGTAATTAACAGAGATAAAACTTAAGGCATAATGAAATTCGTTCCGTGCCACTAGAACGTGCACCGGATTCCTTGCTTAGGGTCCCAACAAGCAACCTCTCCTTTCTGCTAACAAAGTAAACTAACTTTAAATTGAAAAGCGAGGACGCTCTTCTATGTATAAAGGTGTAATATGGCTTGATGCTTATTGACTGACTTTGGGATAATACTCAGGATGTGTCTGTTTCAGAGAAAAAAACGGTAAAAAACAAACAAAAAATATAATTAAGTCCAGTAGCCAAATGGAAACTTGAATCAGTACACTCAAATTGCAAAACGACAATTCGGATCATAAAATGTTTTTTAAATAGAGTACTAGAAAATGTTTTGGCCTGTACATTACATACATAAGTACATATTTTTTTTTACTGGTTGCAACTATTTACATCATCAATATAGGGGTACCGTACATAAAAATTCTAGTTCCTCAGATGGCATCGTCTCACTTGTGTTATAAAAAATATTCATTTGCACGTAAATTTAAAGTCTGAAAGGGTATATACATCCATATAAATAGAATTTATACGTGTTTATAAATTTGACGGTAGCCTTAGTATAATAAAAGTAGATGTGCATGTCTTTATCAATTATTATGTATGTCCATATTTATAAGTATTTTATTATTTTGTGTAGTATATTAATAACTTAGCAATTGTAACAGCTAGTCTAAAATATCTACATAAAAAATGTATGTAAAACACATTTGACACACTCAATAGACCTCAGTGATGACGATTTCTTAGTAAATAAAGCCCGTCCCTGATACCCTTTTTGAACTTCCTCTCAATCTCAAGCAATGCCTTCTCTGCCTTTGAGTATTGAAAAAACATCATAAACGTTATTAGACAAAAAATGTTGAATCCTTGGTGAATAATATATTTTTGATGTATTAGATATTTTGGACACGTAGTACCGTATGATTCAATTAATTTTCAAAAATAATGATAATGGTTCGTGTAATATTGCAGGTGTTGAGTGAGCGCTTCAGAAGAGCAGCTGCGCAACGTACATTGTTATTGGAAAGGTTAGACCGCGCCCGAGACCTGAATGAGGACCTTAAATTCAGAGTACGTTTATGCATGATTTATATTAATTTTAAAATAATTTTGAGGCAATCTCTCAACTTTGAGTTTTCATAGTCGTCATTACAATCATCTCAAAAAGTCTTTAGAATAATGCTAAAGATATTAGAATAACAAATTTACAAACCAGTTCAGATTTGCCATGAAATCATCAACTGAATTCGATCTTTACACTTGGGCCTCAATTAAGCTATTTTAATATTGTATCAATAGACTGTCAATTGACTGTCGTCGGAATAGTTTTGTACGAGTACTTTTCGTATTCTACTAACTATGTAAGACCAATGGATGACTTGTCACTGATCTGCCTGATATAAACGTCGTCAACGTCTATGTAATAGCTTAGTCAACGGTACATTTTAAATTTGCAAGGAAATGATATTTTAGGTTTTACCTATAAAGTTGGAGATTTGTGTGAAAATTTTAAAATATGAAAAAAAAAAGAAAAAAAATCTAATGAAAGTACTGACCCAAATTATCTATACAATTTGCCATTTTGATGGCAGTTTGTTCATCCCTTTACCGTAGAAGTCTGCTGAACGGGAGGCGATGAAGTCATCGAAAGCGTTTTGTACTGCCTCTCGGGTGTTTATTTTTCCCACTTAAAAGTTGTCTTTATAAAAAGGTGGAAAATCTGTTGGGGGCAAGATCCGGTGAGTACGGTGGTACTCGCCCCAACTTGCCCCGACAGATTTCTTTTTCACTCACCGGCATCGGAGAGCTTCCAGCTGTAGCTCTTGTAGCTTTGCGATGGTCTGTCGTACACTTCACGACAGACCATCGGAGCTCGCGCGTTGTCGTGGAGAAGCAATGGGGAAGAGCGATTGACCAGTTATGGTTGTTGAAAGCTTCCATTATTGTCTGCAATTCTTGGCAATAGACATTTTGTAAGAAGTTGTGATGTACAAGTCCGGCACTGGTCCACCAGACAGTCACCATCATCTTCCTATGGGTAATCTTTTTTTTAGCGCACTGATTAGGTGCTGTACCTGGGTCCACGCACTGAGATAAACGCTTACGGTTTCGTACAGGATCCACTTTTTATCGCAGGTAACAATTCAATTCAGAATTCCCTCGTTGCTATGCCGATTCACTAGTGCTATTGCATGCTTGGACGCGAAAGTCTCGCTGATGGTCATTTAGTTCCTGTGGCACCCACTTATCTAGCTTTTTTTCTTTCCGATTTGACGCAAGTGCTTCAATGTTGTTTTGACACTAACTCCAAAGTTCTTAGCAAGCTCAGAGCCGTAGATTAAGTTGGATCCGCTTCCACTATCGCCTTCAATTCGTCGTTACTATAGTTACCGGCCGACCGTGAGGCTCGTTCTTCAACTCAAAATTTCAAGATCTAAAACGATTGAACCAATAATAGACCGTGTTTAAGCAAACAATGTTCCTACGTAAAAAAAAAACGCTGCGCAAATAATACGTAACATTAAAGACGTGTACACGTCTTTAATGTTACCATTATACCATATGTCATATTCGAAAATTAGACGAGCCAAAAACTACCACAATTTCAAAAAACGAAACACTATCTAAAACAAATGACTGAATTTTTTTATTAAAATAATATGGTTTTCGCATAACATTTATTGGAACTTTGAATTGCGCGCCAATCCACAGATAATTAAATCTGAAAATGCTGGTTTTAAGAATCTCCAATTTCATAGGTAATTAGATATTTAATTTTCCAGAAATAACAATGTTGTAGCCATTGTCACTACATCGTCAGTCTATTGACACTGTGAATTTATGTTAGTAGATTACCGATATTTTGACTGATGTCAATTGCATCTCAGTAGCGTGTCAATGGAATGACAGTGGCTTGTACGTTAACATAAAATAGCAGAATTGAGGCCCTATTTGAGTATACATACGTTCTAGTGAATTTGAATTACAGTTATACTAGGTAACATTAGACCACTAATGAGACAGACAATTCGCTATGGTTTGATTAATTGTTAAAGAATAATTTCCTTATAGGGGAAAAAAGGGAGAATATAAAATGTTGTTTATTTAAAAAAAAAAACATGACACAACAATTAAATTAATATGTCTTGACATTAATTTGCAACACCATATTTTTTCTTAGATTTCGTAATGACAGAGAAAATTTTAGATTTTGTGACGGTTTACAATTAATTAAATGAGTGTTTAATTATTGTTTCCCCCCGTGCTCTGATTATGGTTTCCATCCGTTTGGGCATACTGCGGATGATGTTGTCAATGATTTCTTGGGGTAACGTCTGCCATTCTTCAAGTAATGCGTTTCGCAACTCCCCAGATTGTTGGAAGGTGCCATTCTTGATTTGACAGTCCTCTTTAGCAAGTCCCAAACGTGTTCAATTGAAGTCATATCGGAGGATCGTGCTGGCCACTCCATCACATCTGTTACACCAACATGGTTTAGGTATGCCTATACTGAGCGAGCACTGTGAGCCCGAGCATTATGCTGCATTAGAAAGAAGTCGTTGCCAATAAAAGGGGCAAATGGCAGAACATGTTGTTCTAAAATCTCCTTGATATACCGATCAGCAGGCAGATTCCCGCCGTCGACTACCACTAACTCCATGCAAGCTCCTAAAGATATTCCTCCCCAGACCATAATTAAGCCGCCTCCATATGCGACTGTATTTTCAAAATTAGACTATATATAACGCTCACCTTTTCGTCTCCATACTTGCTGCCTTCCATCAATCTGATTTAATAGAATTCTGCATTCATCAGTGAAGAGAACCTGACCTCACTCGTCGAAGTCCCAATGACGGTGTTTACGAGCAAAGTATAGTCGGTTTGTGCGGTGTTCTCTCAAGTTTTGGTGCTTTGGCGGCCACAAATGAGCCTATACCGACTTCTTTGAATCTTCTGCGAAGTGTCCCCTCACTCACTCTTAGTCCTCGAACCTCCTCCAAACATTTCAGGCCTGCAACGCCGTTAGTCTCGCGTTCCGATGAACTTGAAGTTGTAGAAAACGGTCATCTTTACTTGAAGTACACCTTTTCCTGCCTTGTAATCCTCCTCACTAGAGAATTCGTCAAAATGTACTGTTGGATGCTGCGATGAATCGTTGATAACGATCGACGAAGTCTTGTAGCTATGCGAGAAAACACAAAAGCCTCATAAAACTGCAATACAATGTTTTTCAAATGAAATTTACGAACTTACGAAAACAGAAAATCAACTTCGAAGCAGTCGATAAAGATTTATGAGATTTATAAAAATATAATTCTTCATTTTTTTTTTGTGTTCCGCTAAATCTGCCGGCGTGTGTAGTTGTACTCCAAAGTACCAGACAAACAATTTTAGTACCCTTACAATACAGTTTATGACCTTTAATTAAAACGAAAAAATCTTCAATCTGTGTTTAAAAAAACGAAGTTTCTCTGTATATCCAAAATCAATGATAAATTTTTAGGGTTTTCTTTGGCTTAATTTACCTGTTCTTACTTTGTCTATTGCTTCCTGCAACGTATTGATTTGCTACTTCAATGTTTGAACGAAATATGCACACCATTGTACAAATTATACAAATATTTATTTTTATTGCGTCATACAATATGTGGGTAACAGGACTGGATCAATGTTACCCAAAATGACGTAAAAAAATTGACTTCTAGATTAATGCCAGTAATAGGTTATTACAGCTATTATTTAAAAGAGTCTCAATTAGATTTCATAGTGCTAATAAACCACAAAAAAAAATACATTTTCAAATTCTACGCGTAATTTGATCATGGTGGTCATATGCCGTCAGGTAGCTTTGTAAACTAATGCAATGAGTTGACAGTTGACACTGATTCTTTTTAGTTTACACAGGCGTATGACGTAATAACATGGCGGCTACTATTTCATGTGGTTAAAAATAGATTAAACAACTTTAATTTTATTTTGTGTACTAAGCTAACATTTTTTGACTTCTTTTTGCCTAAGCTAATCTCTCTCTATTTATCTCAAGAGTAAAATACCTTAATAAAGAATTATAAATTAAGTTTTGTTCAAAATCACGTTCAATATCACAATTGTTTTACAAGCCCAGTTTATTGTGTATTGTACTTACTTTGTATGTATGTATAAATATCATATAGGAATGAAATAAATATTAGTACAGAAAACAAACAACTTCAATTAGTATGTGTTATAAACGATACAACACAGGTGCAGTATTAACTTGTCATTATGACAAGTTCTTCAAGTTATATATGTCGAACATAAAAGGACCAGCTTAGAATACCAGGCGTTCCTCGGTTGTCATTTTTAAGTCGAATGATCGTCGTACATGCAGACTTTTTATCATTAACGCTCGTTTAAAACCGTTTACAGTTAGAGGAGAAGAGCATCGAGCTAGAGGGCGCTCGCGCGCTCGTGCGCAAGCTGGAGGGTGCGGGGCGGGAGGGGCGCGACGGGCGGGAGGGGCGCGACGAGGCGCGGGCGGCGCGGGAGGCGCGGGCGGCGCACTGCAGCATGCGCGACATGGAGCCGCTCAACATGCCGGAGGACAGCGACGAGTCGCGCATCGCCGACACGCCGCGGCGCCGGCCCAGCCGCATCCCGCTGCACACGGGGCGGCCCGCGTCGGCGCACTCGGTGCGCTCGGGCGCGTCGGGCCGCTCGGGGGCGTCGGGCCGCTCGCGCCTGTCGCCCGCGCCGGCCGCGCCGCCGCGCAAGGAGCGCGACAAGTCGGCGGTGCCGGTGCGGCGCTCGCCGGCGCAGCCCGATGCCAAGGTTCGCGTCCGCTCCTTCTGGAACAACTGGTTCTCTAAAGATGCCGGCTCGTGAGAGTGCCCCGCGCTCGCGTCGGACCCGTTCTCGTAGTATTTACCGCGACCGGCTCACATGCCATTATGTCTTTCGTAAGTTTCGTTACCCGTCGTTTCGTTTCGCTTCGGTCGATTTGCCGACCGATTTTGGTTTCGTTTAGTTGCGTAGAGCGAGTCCGTAGTATAGGCGAGCATGTGCTAACGATTGTGTGTCCTCGTCACTAATTATTATGTTGTCGGACGACTGGAAACTGATTCGTGCATAAAACATTTTTAAAATTAATGTCGATGAATTGCCGAATCTATTTTCATCTAAGACTTTCATGTTCATGTTAATATCAAATTGACACATTGTTTTTGTAAAAGTTGTGGTATTGCGAATCTGTCAGGACTATTTTTTCTTTGATTACTTTATTATTTATTCCAGTCCTCACGGTTCGGTTCTACTACATCTTTAATCGGTTTGGGTTTTGCTATAATAAATGCCATGTCAATAAATAGATAAAACTACAAATACTTAATTTTAGAATCATGTTTTTAGTGTTAACTAATATTCAGTGCACATTAAATATTTTTTTTGTGATCGCTCATGGACGTATTTGAGGAATACGGTAAGTGCGAAATGAAACACATTATTATGAATTATATTATACATTTTGCCACTACACACTATATACACCGTCGATTTTGTGTTTTAATGTATTATTAATATATTTAGTTTTATATTTTTTTTACTGACATAGTGGCATAATGGCAAAACGATTGGCTAACCACAAAGCGACAGATGCTCTCACACGGCCTCACAGCGTCGGTAACTCGGTGTGGTACAACTAATAGAATAACGTTAAGCACAGGAATTAACATAGCACATGGTAGATCACGGTAACGGCACGTTCGAGGCGTAGTCGTAGTTCGAGTCGCACCATTCCGTAGCGAGATCGTCGTACTCTCGGCCGCGAGTCGACACCGGTCATCCTCTCGAAACGGACTAGGAACGACCGAAGCGTCAACCGAGCTCCCGAGCGGTGTCGTCAGTCGGCGGAGGATGGCCGGCGTGGACTGCGCTCCGGCTCCACGTAACGGGGTTGGGCCTTTCGACAGACGGGCGCGCCGGGCAGCTACGCGGCGGCCGAGGCGGTGGCGGCTATGTACGTGGCGCGCGCCGAGCGCCTCGCGCCGCTCGTGCGCGCGCGCCCGCTGCCGCGCGAGCTGCTGGCGCCGCCGCGCGACAGCCTGGCGCTGGAGCTGCAGCGCTCCGTGCTGTACGAGGACGCGAGCGCGCTGTGGAACGGTAAGCCGCAGCAGTACTTTGAGAGCATGAACTACGGCGAGCGCGTCGTCTCAGACGACGAATACGACAGCGACTCGCTGGCACCCTGAGCGTTTTTCCGTCTTCCTTTTTCGCCCCTCGTCAGGTCGCGGTCCTCGTCTTCGCTGTAAAGTAGCGTTCCGTTTCGCGACCGGGTTCTTAAAGGCTCGAGAGATCTGTGATATGTCACCGTTTTATAATTTTGTTTAATCGATCGAGGTCGGGCGTACGAGTCGCTTCGATCGTCTCCTCAGGGTGTCGACGTTAAATCGTATAGTTATCCTGTATCGCTCCGATGTTATCGATCCCGGACCGTTAAGCTGTTATTGTAACTCGTAAAATGAAATACTTTAATGCTATTTATGATATTTATTGTTTAAGACGTATTGATTTTATTTCATAGTAAGCGTACTGCGTTCGTTCCATATTAAATTCCTAAAACATTCTATGATAAATAATCTTGCTGATAATGGTAGCTATGTGTAGCCTAAATATTGTCATTCCTAAGTATATAAGAACAGACTGTAACTATTTAATATAAATTGAGTGAGAGCTTGGAACGACTGTTAGCAAGGCTGTGAAACACTGAAGTTTGCTCGATGTTATTTCTGATGTGTCTATAAATCGAGAGTAATGAAGTTTATAATCCTTATTTTAACGTGTGTTTGCGAATCCTCCTCTGCACATACATTTATTGTTGTTAAACATTTATCAATCGTCCAGTGCTGAACGTCCTAAAGCGACAACGCGTGACTGCCTTTCAGTTGTAAGATGTTAGTAAGTTCATTTTATTAGTATACATTTGATATGGTGGACTTAACAAATAGTAGGAGACTGATTTTGTATAATAAAAAATTGAAAGAATGCTTTATATCAAGGTACGAAACCTCCATGAATGACCGTTACTTTAATAATTCCTTGTATATTTAAGACATCTGTATGTAATACCAATTAAGCTTTTAAAGTTTAAACTAATGTTAATATACCAATTCGATATGTAAATGGCTGTATTTTATGTAAGTAAGAATAAATGTTTAGAATAGTTCATAACGTCGACTGTTTATTGTACAGCATTCGATTATACTATAAGAGTTTGTAAATTATTAAGCCATTACCTACCTACTATTAAGATACTCATAAATCTATCTAGTTAGCTTGAATCTAGTTGATGACTTATTGTGTAAAGTGTACAGAAATCATATCATTATATACAGATCGTAAATAAAATTGTTCATATCAAAATTATGTTTTATTATAAACCAATGCAAAAATAAACTAAGTTATAAATAAACCTCTATAATCAGAATCACATTCATATTAAAAGGAAATTCGACAAAATACAACCGATACAACACGTAAATATTTTAGTTTCAAAACACTTAGTATTGTTCCTGAGAGCTTGTTAGTTTTTCTCCTAAGGTGATGGCATTTATTTCTAGCGTACCAGGGTCCTTGGAGGTGTTGATGAATCCATGTTGCTTTAATTCTGAAATGAAAAATCGATGTAAACACATAAATTGTTAATTTGCTTTATTTAGGTCTGGAATGAAATAAAATTAAGATTTCAGTATGTCAGTATTTCATAAAGTTGGCAACACTGTCGGTTTTCGTTTTTTTTACACTGGTCGGGTTCATTCGACATTGGTCCAGTTCAGTTCACTGGCAGACAAAACGATCTAACCGGATTTAATTCCGCGGTCTTAAAGGCTGACCGAACGTTTTTGAGAACAAGAATAAATTTACGCATGTCTGACTTCTAATAAAGATATCAAAACAAGCAAAACCTACCTAGTAGCACACATGCATGTCGAATATCGGTTATTAGGTAAAATAAAATTTATTCAAAAGGTAAAAACAACCAGTACATGCTTTGTCTGGAAACAATTTTTAAATTAAGTTGATCAATTCTCATCGATTCATTTTACTTCAATGTAGAAAACAAAAGCAATTTTTTGAAAAACAAAAAGTTATTCTAAATAGAAAGGGTACTATGAAAAAAAAACTCGTATTATACATTCTAGTAGGGGAGCCCTAGAAGGGATGTCGGGATTTACTCGAGCGTGGCAGATTAACATGAGGAATACCGTAATGATTTGAGCATGACAAAGCAGTGGGAGGGTCACAAAGTTAAAAAAAAGCGGCCAAGTGCGAGTCGGAACCAACAACTTGAACCTGCCCCCGCGCGCTCCGCACCCGCTACCGATCAAGCCACGCCCCGCGCTAATTATAATTATTATTTACTTAGGCACCTATTACAGATTTATTATTAGAAAATAATGGTTCACGGTTTATAATAACAATATTTTTTTTTTTTTTTATTTATTTTTTTTTTTCTTACAATATCTTTACAGTAGTATTCCAAGGCGATATTGTAGATACATTAATAATAAACTTAAGCCAAACTAAACCAAATTACAAACTAAATCAACAAATTTTACTTAGTGCTATAATTGTAAATTCACTCAGAGAACAACAAAATATATCCACATCGTCAGCTATGAGGTTGAGTGTGCGCAGCGCGCGCGTCAAAGGTGCCTCGCGTAGTAAGTTAGTGCGTGCGCGCGGCACCGCCAGAAGGCGCGGTCGCCGCCGACGTCCCGCGTAGCCGTCTGGGACACACAGACCCCACCCTCTCTAATACATCTGCATTATGTATTCCCCCTCTAATCACATTAAAGATATAGGTTTACGAGTGTGAGTTCCCTCCTGACCCTCAGTTCATTATATCCAACCATACCTAATATAAACAGGGTAGGATACATTAACCGGATAAAAGGATAGACTCCGTACAACTTCATGTAAATAAATCTAATAAATTTATTTTGCACCCGCTCCAACATGAGACTATATTTAGTCCTCATGTGGAGCCCAGATAACTGCATTACACTCCAGTTGGCTCCTAACTAAAGCATTATATAATGCTGTAACAGCTTTTATATTGGTAAAATCTTTAGCCATACGAAGTACCAACCCCAAGATTTCCTATAAGCTTTTTTACAGACTTTGAGTACGTGATCACGAAACGCTAGTCAGTGGTAAAACGCACCCCCCAAACCCCTCACTTCAGTTCCCCTGGCATCTCTCCCCCCTCGTGATTTGTTTTGGATAGGTGTGCGTGCCGGGGAAATGGATAGTCAACACTTCGACACTTAAATAAACCGATTCTGCTTGTTCCAACAAAACGACTCTTCTATGTCCCTCTGCAGTTTTTCCACAATTGCCGCTTCCCCAACGCGAGAGACAATTTCACATCTGCAAATAACAAACTTGGCCTTTGTATGACTGGGCAATCGTTAACCCATTAATAAAACTCCAAAGGACCCAATTTACCCCCTGCTGACGCCAGATCTAGAAAAATATGGTCGCTTTTGGTGTCCTGCATACCCCCCAAATTTTGCTGCCGGGGCCCCCTTATAACTTCAAAGAAGTTAAGAGAGCGGAGTGAATCCGACGCCGCCAACTTTTTCAGCAACATGTCTTACACCAAGTCGAAACTTTTTTGAAGTCGAAGTATGGGGCGTCGTCTCCCCCCCATTGCCCCACTTTTGGGTCCCTTTTCCTTACGTAGCTTAAAAGATTACTTGTGGTATTTCTTGCGGTCGAAATCCTGTTGCGCGTCTGAAAGTTGTAAACCCGCATTTGGAGATATATATTTTTCAACGCGGATTCCAGTACCTTTCCGGTGTTGACAGTACGAAACTGGTCTATATTCCTCTACTGTGTACCCAACCTCCCTTCGGTACCGGTATGCCCGGGCATTTCCCCCTTTCTGGAAAACCGAGACCAAGGCCAATTTAAAGATGTAAAATAGGGCTGCGCTAGGATTTACGCAATCCTTAAATATGTATGGGGGGCAGACCATCAGGCCCCAAAGACTTTTTTTGGTTTCAATCGTCGAAGCGCGCACATTACTCTTTAAATTTGTAGTCTTCGAATAATTCGCGCCGCTCCGTTACTGTTCCTGCCTCCACTATCGCTTATCCACATCCAACCTGGGCTTCCCCTTTGGTAAGACAGAGTAGAAATTTAGAAAAGTCATCGCTGCTTTTTCACCCGTAAAGGGCCAGTCCGTCCTTTAAAATTCTTACCCCTCCTATTTCCTCTTTTGGAATTTATATAATTCCAAAAAGATTTTGGGTTCGCTTGCCATGTGATTTTGTACACGCTGCCTATGTTGTTCTTGTGCCGTTTTCCAGCCTATTTTTGACTAGAGAGTTCTACACTGAGCAAACGCCTCGTAATCCACTCTTGAACCAGTAGCCTTATACTGTTTGTGAAGAGTGGCTTTTTCGGTCTTATGTCGCGAATTATCTCACTCGTATACCACTCAGGATAAATTGTATCCAGGGCGTATACGACTTCGCTTTTTTTTGGGTACACAGCTATCCTATAATTGTAATTAAAGTATCATAAAAAATAATTTAAACTCATTTCCAATTCAAAGCAGTTATATAAAGGAGTCCAGTCAATTGCAGCAATCTTTGAGTACAACAATGTAAAATCTGCTTTGTTAAAATTCCAACCGTTCTGTGTGTTTACGGTCCGATCTAAATGAGTCATAGCTCGCCCCCTGCATTAGTACTCCGATGCCCACACGATCTGACAGACACCTGCAACGGCGGATGGTATGCATCTACCGCGGTTAGTGGCTCCTCAGCCGCACGCACGCACACACACTCTCCCTCCACGTAAGTGGTCAACACGAGATCTAGGCAACGGCTATTGCAATTCAATATTTTATTGCTCTGAGTGAATCCGCAATAAGTTACAAAATAATCATAGTAATTAATTATACTTGTAGTACAGGAATATAAATTAAAATCACCCAACACGACTACTTCGTTGTAAGTAGTACAATACTGTTCTATAATTTTGAATAATGACAAGAATTCATTTTCACTACTTATTTGCGGTATATATACTACACAAACTAGAAACAAAACCTATTACCTAAATAGAACTGTAGCGCTTACTATTGCGAATACTCGATTGTCAATTTTACGTCGCATGGAACCGGTATTCTTCGCAGCTCGAGACGCGGTGTGGCCACTAAACACGCGCCGCCTTGTTTTCGCCCATCCGCTCTGTCACACCTTAATATTGTGTACCCGGGAGGTATGATTTCCGCGTCGCAAATGGATTCGTTTTAGGCCCGTTTCTGTTATAGCGAGTAAATCTGCGTTAGATGATGATACTCCCACATAAAACTCCTCCAATTTTGTTCGTAAGCCTCTCACGTTCTGGTAATAAATTTCAACCATAGACTTATTCCGGTTTTTTATGGGGTGGTCTACGAAACCACACCCATTCGCAGAATTCCACGTTCACTGGCCAAATCTCCGGTTGACATAGCTTGTCATATTTACTCTCCGGTATGCCAATAATAAAGGAAGCATAGTCCCTTTCAGTCCTATGCTTAAGTCTTTCAACTTTAACTGATACTTGCGACCCACATACACTTTTTACATATTTTCCCAAATCTTCTTCTGTAGTTTCCTTCTGCAAACGCCAAACATGTAAGAATTTCTTCTTTTCTATGCCCTGAATTTCATTTACAGTCATATTTCCCCCTCTCTTCACTTCACCGTTGGAATATTTGTTTTTTCTTCTATCTACTACTGTCCAGTTCTCATTTTTATCAGTTACCTCCTTCTCCTTTTCATTGACCTTATCTACTAAACTCTTGTTGACTTCGTTTTCTCTATGTATTAGTACGGGTTTCCTGTAAGTCTGTGATCACATTTGTTGATTTCGTGGCCCCACACTTTGTTGAGTCGGTTTTGTTAATTACCCGCCTATTATTATTTTTCACTACATCAACAAACAATTCCGCTGACGGCGATTTTGTAGTCTTTGTCTGTGATAACTCAGTATTATCCCGTGCTGGATTGTTCTTAAGGATTCTATTCAGTAGTAATTCATTTTTCTTTAACAGAATTTTGACTTGTTCTTCCAATACATCTACTTTATTGGCCTTCTCTTGAACTACCTCCATTATTTTTCTTAAGTTCTTCAACTCAGTTTCAGTTTCTATAAATCTATTTTGTAGCATTACGTACATATTAATTTGTTCATCCAATCGCGTAGTCATTACCAAACGAAACTCTCGTACCTCCTCCAGTAGCTTGTTTTCGCACTCCATGATCGACTCGTTCCGTTTGCGACGACTGCCGCGCTCAGTGTTTACGTAGCAGTCGCTCGCGTCGGGTGTGAACGTTTTATTCGCAATAAAGTTTCCCCTCACTGGTGTATCTGTATTGCCTCTCTTGGGAATAGTTCGTACACATTCCGGACACACCCAGTTTTCCTTGTACTCCAACGTAAATGATTCGAACTTCTCCGTTGTCAAAGCTAGACATTTCAAATGGTATAGTCTCTTGCATTGTTCTTGAGAACACTCCATGTAAGAAATATCATAGATAACGGCTTCGCAGCCGTTGCAAATCGTAGCCATTCAGTGATACGCTAGTGATTTAAAAAAGCCGATCGTAAGACACGTCCGATCGCTTCCGCGTACGCGTACTTACTAATGTTTATTTCAGACTTATGGTCCATATTTATGTTAGTATTTTAGTGTTAGTAACAATAGTGCTTAAGTTGATAGGTTAGTATTATTAGTAATTACATTTTTTACTTAAATTAACTATTTGTATAGACCTATGACTGTCCCCACCCATTGTTTCTGGAATGGGCAGTCCGGTCTGGCAGCGATCATTTTCAGAATGCTGTTGTCACTGTCATGTAGGCGCTGGAGTAAGGAAGCCGCTTTCTTTCGCATAATTGCGTAGAAATCATATATGCGAACCTCCGCGAACATACCTGATGCGCTACAGCGCTGCGGCAGCCCCAACAGCATTCTGAACGCATTATTATATTGAACACGCAGGACATTGTACGCCCGTCGCGTGTATGACACCCACAGGCCGCTCGCGTAGAAAGACTGACAAAACGCCCTAAAAAAGGGTTATTTTGACATCCTCGCCACAACGAGCAAACCTGCGGGCAAGCGTATTGCTCCTCACAGACAATGCCCTGCGTTCCCTCTCTATGTCTCCATCGTCCCTTAGGTCGGTCGTGACAATGTGGCCCAGGTACCTAAAACTATTTACAGTGTTTAGTGCTACGTCGTTGAGACTTATGGGCGGAACAATACGTGATTGCTGATTAGGCGCTTTAAATATGAGTAGAACACTCTTTTTCGAGTTGTATATCAAGCCATGCTCCGCCGCATAGGCCTCACAGATCGATATCAACCTCTTCAACCCACTTATCGATGGACTGAGCAGCACCATATCGTCTGCATAGCTTATATTATTAACACAGGTTCCGTCAATATGACAGCCGACATGTGTGCCGCTCAGTCGCTCGATAAGCCGGTTCATATAAATATTAAATAGCAGAGGCGAGCTTAATCCTCCCTGTCTAACTCCGCATTTCAGCCTGTACTCGCCCGTCAGAGTACCCAACCATCTCACTCGGTTCCTTTGATTAGAGTACCAATACCTGAGGAGGGAGGTGTACTTCGCCGGCACACCCGCATCCCTCAACTTGTCCCACAGTATATTATAGGCAACCAAATCAAAAGCTTTTGACAAGTCGAGGAAACACGCATATACCGGCGTCCTCCTCGCTGTGTAGTACCCGACAGTTCGCTTCATACTCAGAATAGCGCTCTCTGTTGAGACCCCTGCTCTGAAACCGAACTGTGCATCGTGCACCTCAACCTGTTCGTTGAGGCTACTATTCAGCAAACTGTCAAGCACCTTGGCTGTTGTGGTAGCGAGCGAGATAGGCCGGTAGTTACCTATATCAGATGTATCTCCCGTCTTGTTTTTAACTATAGGAACGACTATTGTCCGCATAAGCGGCTCCGGCAAATACGAGTGACCTATGCACAGGCTGTAAAACATAGACAGTACCTGGGGCAGATTAAATCCCCGCATACTTAAGATGCTCGATACTAAGCCCATCGTGACCAGGTGATTTTCCACGCTGCATTTTTTGAATAATGTTAGCCACACTCTTTGCAGATATCTTTATATTCCGCCCCATCACAATGGGCTCACCATCGCTCACCTCACCAGACGTGGGACCCAAGGGAGACCACACAGTAAAGTGCTCTCTAAAAGCCTCGGCAATGTCCTTGTGGTTAGCGCAACCACCGACACTCATAGGGAGGCTAGACCGAATGTTCATTTTTTTTTTGGTATGTTTCCAAAATTTTTTAAAATCCTTAGATGAGTGGTTCGATGCAAGGATATCCATTTCAAATTGCTCTTGGCTAGTCTGACACCATTTCAATTTGGCTTTAAAATGTCTCCTCGCCTCCGACATCTCATCAAAGATTCGACCATTAAGCTGGTCGCCCAGCCAAGTTCCACATTTTAAATTTAAGCCGAGCCTCCCGATGTGGGCCCGCTACGTACTTATTCCATCCAAAGACATAACCACCCTTCCTGCAACATTTTTTTCTATATGTTTGAATGGCTGCTCTTGAAAGCGTGTCAGTAATTTGCGCATACAATTTATCAAGAATCAAGTGATGTTCACTGTCACCACATTGATGCATAAGGTTTATGTTTATGAAATTAAATGGTTTTTTTTTATATTTGAGTTGATTGAATGGAAGGTAAATTGCTGTTTACGATTTATGGCGTATAAAAAAAAACTACTTACTAGATCTCGTTCAAACCGATTTTCGGTGCAAGTTTGCATGGTACATCATATATTATTTTTAGTTTTATCATTCTCTTATTTTAGAAGTTACAGGGGGGGGGGGGGGGGGACACATTTTACCACTTAGGAAGTGTTTCTCGCGCAAACTATTCAGTTTCGAAAAAAAATGATATTAGAAACCTCAATATCATTTTTGAAGACCTATCCATACATACACGTATGGGTTTGATGAAAAAAAACTGAGTTTTAGTTCTAAGTATGGAGAACCCCCAAAATTTATTGCAGCTGAAGTCTACCTAATTTTTCGTGACTTTATTTGTCACATTTTATAAAAAATCAAAATATTTCTAACTGTCAGATTTAAAATACCCTGCAAAATTATCGTCAGATTTTTGGCTAGTATGAAAGGAACATCAAGCTGAACCGTCTGTATAAAATCTAACACGCTCGGGTATCCAAATAACATTCCCCAAAATATCTGATGCGCCCGTATTACATACATTTTTAAAAATCTGTAGAAGCTTTTCCCACCGCAGAAAGTGGAAACATTATATAATTTTTATTGATTACCTAATCTTTGAAATGCAATAGGTCCCCATGACGCTCGAGTAAATATGCCCATTTAGCATCATGGGCTCCCCTACTATTCCATAATACCCGTGAGAACTGTATATGTAGTTTCACGAATATTTAAGGAGACGAGTAATAAAAGCATGAGCTAGTAACAAATCAACATACTTTCGCATTTCTCTGACAATCTCAGGGATCTAGAACGCATGTCGTAAAGTAATTAATTTAAACCGTTTTTAAAGTAATTTGGGATCTAATTGGTTAAATAACATACAAAACAATAGCGAAAGGACCTGAACATTCCGGCGAAGACGTATAATACCTGACCACTAAATTTTTATTTTGGAAATCAGAAACGTTTTTATGATATAAGAGAGCAAACGATCACACGAGTCACCTGATTGTAAGTAACAACCGTCCCCCTTGGACACCTGCATCTAGAGAGCCACAAGTGCGTTGCCGCCCTTTAAGTGCTCCCAAAATCTGGTTGTGGCTCCGATAACCTTACTCACTCGGCAAAAAGCAACGAAAGAATTGCTAATCACCAGTTTTCGATAACCTTACTCACTCGGTAAAAAGCAACGAAAGAATTGCTAAGCACCGGTTTTCTAACCTTACGCACTCTGTAAAAAGCAACGAAAGAATTGCTAAGCACCGGTTTTCTAACCTTACGCACTCGGTAAGAAGCAACGAAGGAATTGCTAAGCACCGGTTTTCTAACCTTACGCACTCGGTAAAAAGCAACGAAAGAATTGCTAAGCACCGGTTTTCTAACCTTACGCACTCGGTAAAAAGCAACGAAAGAATTGCTAAGCACCGGTTTTCTAACCTTACGCACTCTGTAAAAAGCAACGAAAGAATTGCTAAGCACCGGTTTTCTAACCTTACGCACTCGGTAAGAAGCAACGAAGGAATTGCTAAGCACCGGTTTTCTAACCTTACGCACTCGGTAAAAAGCAACGAAAGAATTGCTAAGCACCGGTTTTCTAACCTTACGCACTCGGTAAAAAGCAACGAAAGAATTGCTAAGCACCGGTTTTCTAACCTTACGCACTCGGTAAAAAGCAACGAAAGAATTGCTAAGCACCGGTTTTCCATGAGGCTATGGTATCACTCTGGCCGAACCGGCCCACTTAGCGAACGGTCGTGTCGCGTGTGAGATTTGACCTTCAGATAAGTGTAGAATTAAGATGTGATCTTTTTACCATGTTTAAGAAATACATATACTTAGGTCATAAATTCTGTCTGTGTAGCACAATAGAACTACGAACAGCATTCACGGCCGAACTAGGTCAGACCTGTGGGAACGCCGTGAGTTACTAGCAAATCATCGCTCAAGTGTCCTCCAATGGCAGTAGTTTGGTAAGAATTATGAAGTTAGCTCTCAAACAAACCAAGCTGAGTGCCCCTCATTCCTTTCGCCTCAAGTTTTTGCAACAGTAGTGGGACAGAAACCGTGTCAAATGCCTTCGCCAGATCCAGGAAGACAGCAATACATTTATTACCTTTGTCTAAATTAGTTACTATAAGTCGGTTACCATAAAGAAGCCTCTGACTAATGGCAGACTGAAGTCGAGCACTCAGCCAAGCATAATCACTCGTCATTATACTCGTACTGGATTGTATACAAGTAGTATTGTTCATATAACTTACTGAGTATGGAAGTAAAGCATCGCGCAGCAATAACACGAGTATACCCGGCTATGGTTGGACCTTTCTTGACAAGAGTACTCACTGTTACCGGTTTCCGACCTGATTTGACGAGTGTTAGGATTTTCAGCATAGTGCCTTCAGTACCCCATTGATCGCTGCAAAAAAAGGATAATTGGTAGTATTCATTTTATTGTTAAGTGTTGTTTGACTAGAGGTAATTCAAAATCAAGATGGATGTGTTTTGCTCAACACGTAATTGCAGTCACAAACTTAAAATAATAATGTAATACTGTTAGTAAATTGAGCAAGAGCTAATAACAAATGTAGAGAAAGTAGTTTAGGCTTGTCAGCTATATTGAACAATAAAACACCATTCTACAAGGTCGGAGACCCGTTGGGGCCACGTTATGGTTTCTTCAAATTAGTCAAAAGGTACGAAACACAAATCTGATCGCATATAGTTGAATGGATTTCGTGAGAATATAAATACAGCCATCCCTCTTCCCATCGCTTGGGTAATCAAAATATCAAGTCACACAATCTAACTGTTCTATTCAACCGTCAGTTGCTTTTAACTGAGACTTTACTAACAAAAACTAGCATTTTATGCCACGCGTGTAAAACGCTTGCCAAGGCTTGGAAAACGTCCACAAACGTACAAATTCTTGGATGGCAATTAGGCGCTTGCAAGGCTGTTAATGTGTCCCGGACATGTAAACATGGCAGACGTGGACGTTGAAGTTGTGTCGGCTATTGCGTTAAGCTTGATATATTTTTATCCAAAATATAAACAGCGACTTCACAGCCCCTAAGCCTTTTTAAGACTTATTTTACGACACTCTTCACTCTAAAATTAATTTCTACACAGAAAAGAGAGAACGGACCAAGCGAAGCTATAAGCATTCCTTTTTAGAACTGGCATAGTCCCTTAACATGGAAGGTTATTTTTTTAAATTGAAACTAGAATAAATTTAGACATTCTTCAACTTAAAAAATAAAAGCACTAGTCATTTGTACATACCGTATAAACCTTTTAGAATCCGTGGTTTGTTCTGAATCTCCAAGAGATACTTTTGTTCTATCAAGGCTACCCAGTGGTGTCTCCGAACTATCACTAAGATTTCCTCGGCCAGGTTTGCCGATTGACACTGCGCGTTGCGATACTTGCGGGCCAGTCTCGACTACGACAGATGACGCAATCTGAATGTCTGCCAACCCTGCTTCTTGTAACATCGATGACACAATCTTCTCTGCATTTTGTGCCGGTCTCGGTTCATCACTAAACGTCGTTCGCGGAAGTATATTCGCAGGTATATTTTCTTTGTCAGCTTCTGAGCCTGGAAATTAGCATTCTTATTATTTTTGCAGCAAAGTTTATTATATATGTATATGAGAATGTAATGATAGAAAAAAACTCACTCGCATCCTGCCTTGTCAATCTCGCTACTTGACTCTCTCGGAACGAAACGTAACCTACAGAACGTTGTCTTTTTGGCTGTAAAATAAAATATCTATGAACATATACGTAAATGCAAAATATTAAGTTACCAATATGGATTTGACGCTTAAGAATTAATAAACATACGGTGGTAGTCGCCAGTGCATCTTGCTCTTTTCTTTTGCGTGCTTGAGATAGTGTTTCAATTTTCTGCGTTAGCATGTCCGCGATGTCCACGTCGAGCTGGGCGCCAACACTAGGACGCGTAGCCTCCGGCACGTTCTGTTCCATTGCGATCTCTTCAACCTGGATCTGTTCCAGATCTACCTGTGGCCGCTCCACGACTATCGGAACTTCCTGTTCTTCCTCGATCCTTTCAAGCAATGACCTTGTGCCACAATAATTTGACCTCTGCATTACTCTCTACAACAGAATATTTTATACAGAAAAACAGTTGTGTAAAAAAAATAGTTACTAATAACAGTTTTAGCCGCATGCCTACCTCTATTTCTCTATCCTCGAGTGGTCGATTATTTATAACTCCAAGATTTCGTGCAAAAAGACGACTTATTACAAATCCAAGGTTAGAAGTAACCCCTTCCCCACCGTGACAAGGGCGACGAAAATAGAATGCAGGAGGTACGCGTATCAAGATAATGTCCTCCGAACTATCCTGCAAATGAGAAAAACGTAGGTTGTGAAATCTGTTAGTATTAACAACGGTATTAATTTTAAGAAAAAAAATGAGGGTACTCGCTGTATCCAATGAAATTTTCCAATTCATTTTAATTGCGTTCTACTATATATGTTTATGCATTATAATTTTGTAAGGTTAACCTTCCTATTATGTTGCCGTAATTTTAAATGCTTCCAGATTATAACATGTACATACCTGGCATCGTAGTTCTACTCGCGGATTTTCGAGTCTGGTTCGAAAGAACTGTGTACTAATTTTAATTTTTTTGTCAACCATTAATCTATGCCTTAGCTTTCGTTTTCTGCTTTGTGGTTCCGCTTGTATTTCCTAATAATTAAAGAAAAGTTAAAAATATTTTGATACTAATTTAAAATATACTAATATACTATACGTCAAAAGCAAATAACTGTGTGGGTATATTATAGGTGTAAATTTTTGTTCATATCCTAAAAACTACAATACAAGTTATGTCGATGCCCTAAATATTGCTATGTCATGCGTTCCTGATTCTTGACATAACTATCACGGAGAAGATAATACATTATGTACTTTTTTTAGGAGAATAAGAAATATAGGCTACAGTACAAAAACTTACCTCCAGTTCTATTTCTACTTGCTCGGGTTCTTTGGATGATTCAACAGGAATAACCCTGTGCTCCTCGCCAAGTACTTCATTGCGAGATCTATAGAAATTGTAAAATTTCTTATTGCATTATCTTTATCAATTGAAATGACTACGAATTACATTCACAGGAACAAGCCGAACAAGTTTCTCTAACAAAAGAGAACAGCTAAAGCCTTTAGGCGGATCCTAATCACCGTCAAAAAAAGGTATACCGGAGTATACCTTTTTTTTTTTTACATAACGCATAGCAAGAGCATAACGTCCTCGCAGAAGGAGACCGCGGCTGCCCATATCTCGCCACTCGCCAGCATTGCCGCGATCAACGCTGACGGTGACAAGTTTCATCCAATCTGTCCGACCAGAACTCGACACTTGGACTTCCATGCAGGGCAGTCTTCCAGCGAGTGCTGGGCGGAGTCCCTGTCGGGCCCACAGTGGTGGCATTATGCCGTGACCTCCCATCCGATTCGATTCAGGTACTCACCGAAGCAACCTGTGGTGAGCAACTGAGTCAATCAGTAGGTGACACAGTCGTTTCTCCCTACCCACGCTTCGAAGCTCGGCAGGACGGCTCCGACGGCGCGTTGGTTAGCACAGCCTTGACAGCCAGCCAGCACAGGATTTCGAGACGTGCTTGCCACGCCAGCAGCACGTTTTTAGGGCCACATGAATATGAAGTGTCACCACTCCTATTCATCCCGCAGGTGTCGTAAGAGCCGACTAAGGGAGCAAACTACGCAGGACAACAGCACTGCAAGGAGAAGGAAAACTGGACACAAACCCTATACCAACCCATCTGGCCAGCGTGGTGTAGTAGACCAAAACCTCTATTACAGGCTATGATGATGATGATGATGATATGCAATACCTTACATAGTGACAGAATTTTTCAAGCCTATATTATTTTTGTCTGTATTAAACCGATTCAAAAAGTTCAAACTAATAATAGGAGCTAAAGTATGAAATTGCCGTTGTATAGTAATCATCATCATCATCAACAGCCTTTAATAGTCCACTGCTGGACATAGACCTCTCTTTAAAAGAGGTTTTGGCCTACTATACCGCGCTAGCGCTACTAAGCCGATCCGAGTCAAACTACCCAGGAATTAATTTTGCATGACTCATTTGCATTAAATCAATAAGAAAAAAAAAATGAAAAATGATTGGGCCTTGTTGAATCGGTACAGAAATGAAGGAATATTGATAACCGTAAGCGAAAAATGCAATGTCTGACCCCAGGTCAAAGGTAAAATGGTAACTATTTAGGCCTCTTCATAATGTTATTCACTATTCATCTTTCTCGAGTCTGGTCAGGCATTAACAGCAGATGTTTATTGTGTCGAACTTCGAACAATGATGGCGAAACTGGCAGTGAAACAGCCCCGACTGGTGAACCGATCACCATTATTGCTACATGATAACACAAGACACACTGCTCGAGAAACCGTTGTAACTCTACAGGAGCTGCAGTTAGAAACCATACATTCTCATACATCCTCCGTACTCGCTAGACCTTGCTACAAGGGACTATCATTTTTTTCGTGATTTGCACATTTTTCTAGGTAATAAAAAAATTCTTCCCAGGAGGCAGTACAAAATGCTTTCACACAGTTTGTCGAATCTAGACCCCAGAGTTCTATTGTAATGACATAAATGAACTTCCGTTTGGATGGCCGCAATAAACAGATAATGCGGGTAAATATTTTGATTAATTAAATAGTTTACATCTTAGATAAAAACGAGTTTCAATTTTTCAGTACAAATCGGCAATTTGTACTTTAGATCCTAATATCAACTAACTTGGAATTTTAGATTCGGTTGAAAGACTATATATATCATGTATTGTGTGAATACAAGGATTTGATACTAAACTCAAATTTAATATTAACAACGGTGTAAGGAGAGCCTTAACACATTGTCTGTTCAACAGCTTTTATGATCTTGAACCGATGTTCGACATGATGTCTGAAGATTTATTTTATCACCACACCGCTCCCACCTAACGGGGCATTAATGTTTGTACACCTTCAAACCTAAATGATTGCGCAAGTTACAGTTTCAGAATATCTTGTTTCTTTCCTGTGGATAACACTACATTTAAATAGAGCTGAAGTGATTTCAACAACGACATAATTGAATACTAACTTCTCGGGTACAGGAACGGGCAATTCAGGAGGCGGGATTTCTGGTATTTCAGGAATGTCTGTGAGTTTAAAAGTAAGGTCAAGGATAGAAGTTAAAAAGGTTTTACAAAGTAAGATTACATTAACACAAATTATTAATCAGGATATATTTAATTTCATTTGGAGTGTACCTTTTTCAAATTCTGGTACCAATTCCTCTGCATTAGCTGTAACAAAAAAAACATAATATTTTTCTCTTATAGAAGAAGTACTCATGCTAAAATAACATGGACAAGGCTTGGCAGGATTCACACCTGAGAGTGGCGTGCATAACCCGCGTGCCGTCCATCTATACCTATGCCTACCTAAATACTCGTATACACGAATTAGGTGATTTAAGAATCATGTGTTGGAAATATATAAACCGCAATGTAAAAAAAAGTAGAGAGAAGAATCTAACAACAAAAAATGTAATACATTTAGTAAAGACGGTGAGGTCGTGGTCGGACATCCTCTCCATGCGCACGTGTGGCAGCAGCAGGCGCGTCCGGTCGTGCGACGCGTCGGTGAGGTCCAGCGGCAGCTCCAGGCCGGAGCGCTGCGCCGACACGTCCGCGCGCACCAGCATCTGTTCCACGGTGCGGTCCTGCAGCTGCTCCGAGGACTGCTCCGGGTGCTCTTCGCCGAACCCGTCCTGTCATACCTCAATATTAATCTTCTACCGGTACTTGACATAATCTCAATCAATTTTTAGGTAGCTGAGTAATTTTTATACAATATAATAAGTATATACCTCTACTTTTCGCTGCTTTTTTTAAATTATAGTTCTATAATCGTAGAGGAAATGATTTTAAGTCTTAGTCACTTAATAGTCACACAGTATAGTCACTTGTCACTTGAATAGTTAAATTACTTTCAATGTTTTACAATATTGTTTGTTATAGATACGTTATAGTTGTACTTTTCTTACTCTTTATATAGCTGGTATATAGCTGTTTTAACAATAGTAGGATTCAAACTGGTCCCAAGTTGTAAACAAAAAATATATTTAACAATCTGTGATAATTTATAGCCATTCATAACTTACATTTGGTCTTAAAAGCATTTCAGAGACTATTGTAGGTTCTCTCAGTGTTATATCTTCAATGTTTGAAACAGCATTTCCGCTTGCCTGCAAGCAATAAAAAACTTTAATAACAGATTATATCAAAGGATTAAGTTGAAATCGCATGATTTAACATAGATTTACATACACTTTTGAAAACAATAAATAATTTTATATTTTATATAGTTTGCCTATTCCATTACGAATTTTATGTAAAATGCACCTACATCCCGTTTTCTCTGCATCAGCCAATAGTTGACTGGTAGAGAATGCCGTAGGCATTAAGTACGCCAATGCACCAAATGTGCATGATGTGTCAAATTAAAAATAAAATAAATAATTGAAGACAAGAAACAGTATTCAAATGGTTATTATTCCAAAAAGAGGTACCACCAAGTTTTGGAGTGAGTACTTATTTACAAAATATTGAGCGACAGAATAAAAATAATTTACTGCATGATAAAAAATAATATACATTTCTTAACTTTAAAAACATTTTTTTTTTAAACGGTATTACATTTTACGGTTTTTTTTTTACCTGAGTCTTATACATTAAGAGCCGCCGAAAAATCGGTGATTATGTCCAATACTAACAGTTAAGTAAGCTTTATATTTAATCTCTATTTGAGTTCTATATTTTTTTACTGTTTTTTTAATTTGCCCATCAATTTTAGTTTTTTTTTCTAAAGAAACAATAAGTCCTTGAAATTGTATAGCTATCATTTTTATAGTCTACTCCATGGGACACGATTTCCCCTAACTAAGTAATTCCATTTTAGCATTAAGTTACCCTAAAACGATTTCATACATAGTCTACTCTTGGCGTTCCCACAATATGGTTATTATTTTGCTATATAAATTCGATGGTGTCATACTCTCGTGTTCTTTGTATACCTTATTCTATATTGCTTCCATCATCGCTACTTTGTAACCTTGTAGGCACGTAATCATAAAGTTATAAAGTGTACAAAAATACCTGTTTTATTTTTCTATTTTAGACAATAACTAAGAAGTATTTAAAAATGAAATATATTTAGCCTTTCTCAGTGTATTATTGATTGCGAAAAATCGAGATTGCTGGCGTTGTGTAACGATGAATAATAATAATAAATATAATAATTATAATTTAAATATACTAGTATTTAAATACTCATTGTGATTAACAAGTAAATTTTCAATATTTTTTATTAACAACGCTATGGCAATAGCTTTTAATTAGTATATACACTAACATATTGTTTAGGCATTAGTGCCTATAAGTAAAATAATTTTACTTTATTTAATTAAATCAATAAAAAGTTATACTAGGCCTTCCTTTTAATCCTAAATATAACTAAAAACGCTAACTAATATATCTAATGAGGTTGAACAAACCTGAATCATTTCCACTATTCTTTGTTCATTTTCTGGTGCTCCCTGGGCATCTTGGAAGTTTAGCTGTGGCAATGGACGCTTAATACGCCTCACAATTTCAACCTCCTGTGTATTCCATCTAATATACAAAAGAAAATTTTTACAAATTTTCAACTACAGTTGTAGTTTAGAAGTAAATTACACACAGTATAATACATAAAACTTTTAGCTGCTTTGCTTGAGTATATAAATACTTAGACAGACTTTAGAAGTTATTTTTATATCTATAGCACAAAGCCTTACTACATCACATTAACTAATTAAAACTATAGTAAACTTTAAACAATTTACTTACTTTTTATTAGCACTTTTGATAACATTAGCATTGAGTCTGCACAATTCACCTAGAAAATAAATAGATACAGTTTGAATAAGATATGTAACTTATAAATTATATTATACATACCTATTCTTACCTTATTAAATACAATTACAGTTCTAAATATTATATGATTTGGTATCATAATATCAACAGTTTGAGGGTAGATTGCAGAAATGGCCTGCTGTTCTACTTGTTAGACATCCTAACTGCTAAGCCAAAGGTTGTGGGTTTGATTCCCACCAGCATGATCACTTGTTCTATGTCTGGGTGCAATTTATCCCTTATATGTATGTATTTAGTAATATATAAGTATGTTTATTTAGAAATGTATGTGGTAAGCATACTCCCCCATAATATAGTTTTTGTCTTCAAGCGCCGCTGTCTACCTTAGGGGATAAAAACGTGAGTGTGTGTATAAATGACAAATTTGACAAAGAAGTGGAAGAATGATTATAGCTTTTGTTTTGTCAGTGTGAGGTCAGTCTCCATGTTATGGATGTTATTTCAATGATAAAGTTGATGACAAACATTCAATAAAACTCAAGAAATGAGGATAATAATTAGCTCTCCCTACTTTTACTGAGGACGTATGTGACAATAATTTGTTTTTAGGAGTTGAGAAAAATGTCATTAGATTACGATAATTAAAAGTATTGTAACTAAAAATACCTACCCAGGAACACATTAACTTTTTTTTGGTAAAGTCGCACCAGCCCCCGCAGAAGTTGGGAGCTAAGTCGGAGTGAAAATCTTTGTGTTGGACGACCAGACTCGTTCATTATAACTTCGACTAAATCGTCACTACAACAACAGGAGTGTACATTATTAAAAAGATGTTAACTTATTTATTAACAATACTTCATTTCTTGTCCATAATAATAATCATTTACCATATTATTCGGATATCTTGTGACCAAAGCTGTCGGTGTGTTATGGTGGCAAATCGCAGTGGCCAGGAATCTGCTACCCAGCACAAGTAAAACCTTCCTCCTCGTTTCAAAGAGTCCACTGGATAAAACATTGTTATTAACGGTTTAAGTTATAAGTCGTAATATTAACAATATTTATCTCTTTTATTGGTATACAAATACGTCGTTTACGTCGTATTACAAAATGACGCCAATACTCCCGCCAAAACTTCTGTGACGTCATTTCCTTGTCTCTCGCCAGCATAACCACAGACTAGGTATTTTTTATTTTATTGCACAGCACTGACCGCACCAAAATTATAAGATAGATATATTGTATTATATTAATCATCATCGCTGATATGATAAAAGATATAATGCAGTAGCTAGTGGAAAGAAAATTACTTTTAAAATAGCTAAAAACCTTTCAGCTGTACACTTTACCATAATAATAAATTACGGGAAAAGGAACGTGTCAATTATTGAAATACATAAAGTCATCAAATTATTTAAACATAAACCTTTGTAGATGAACATTTTATAAATAACTTATGATTTAAGATAAAAGAAACTTGTATATCAAAAACTCGACTTAAACTATTCTTACATCAGCATAAAGCAGCCCGTCGTCTACGAATTTTATATATTGTATTATTTTGCATCGAAAACTTTCAATGTTAAATCGCAGATCAATGAAAGACTACAGCACGGTACAATTATAATCCAGTATTGTAACTCGGCCGCATGATAGAAATAAATGCCTACAGCCGCGCGGTACTTAAACATGCGTTAGGGCTGCCCGTCTCCAGCATTTTAATTATATTTGCCTACTTTCTGTTTCTATTTAGATTTGTGATTGTAAATATCCTTTTTATATAAATAAATGAAATACTTTGTATATTGAATAGGAATTGTTCAATAAAAATGCGTGTTGTTTTTTGATTGGTAGATTTAATTAAAAAACATGTTTTTGTTTGAAAAACAAATCGGGCTTATAAATTAGCGACCGAAAAAAATCCTTCTATAAAATAAAATAAATGTGCTTTCTCCATACGCGTTACAAAACTCCAATCCTTAGAAACTCCAACACCTACCACCTACTCAACTAGAATGCAAGAAACAGCTGACGAGTAAGTAACTTTTTATCTCAGCTTATTAACGTCTCTATAAATTAGGTACCTACCTACAACTCGCAACAACTCAAAACAAAAATTCTTTGGTCACCAATTAATTAATTATTAAAAAGCTGAACAGCTGACTACGAATGTTTCAAAATCACAACCCTCAAACATCTAAATATTATATATGAGTCTAGCTGTTGTTGTTAATACCGAGAAAATAAAACCAGTTTTTAGTGGTATATGTTGTTATAGTAGCAGCAGAAACACTTTGTGAAAATTTCGAAAACTGTCTAATGACACACAGACGGTAACAATTTTTTTTTAGTATTATTCATACACACAGATAATAAACAAATATTATTAATAATAAAATACCACGTCTTTAATTTGAATTTTCTTTTTTTTGAATTATGCAAAGTAACAAAACAAACATGCACCGAAGTTTTAACACAAGCGTAAGTAGGTAGGTACCTACCGTATCATGATTCATTCAGAACCGCATGTAACTCCCTATTTCACTCGTCTCAATAACTTTCTGTTACTCTATTTGCTTTATTTATTCATCCAAACACCTTTTTTTTCGTGAGATAAAAGGAAATACTTATCCATTAAAAAGACACACATTATGTACCTACGTACTAGTAAGTAAAATTATTTTATAGTCTTACTTTTCAGAGTTTCCAGGTAATTTAAAAAAACTTATGTCTGGATGCGTTATTGACGAATTCATACAACCAAAAACAGCACAATATTTCCTACTCGTCATATTAACTGATTTTTAGAGAAAAAATCGCGCGGTTATTGTTAAAAAAACAACACGCAGTCCGTTCGACACTGCGGTACAGCCGTGACTGTCTGCGCCCCGAGCGCACCCCGAGATCGAGGCGCGTAGGTATAGCTCCCGTTTCGTCCGTTTGTATGAAGTTGGAGTACTGTATTATAATAGTACCGTGACTACAGTCCTTTACAATATAAATGATCAATACTTAGTAGGCTACTCTTGATCATCATCCTGATCGCACTATTATAATTGGCAAATCGTAAAGCGAAGAAGTAGACCAAGCGTGAAGCGTGAAGAAGTAGACCAAAACCTCCTTTCTAAGGAGAGGCCTATGTCCAGCAGTGGACTATTAAAGGCTAATTTTTTATTTTTTTATTTTTCTCATATATATATGTGTATGTATATATATATATATATATATATTTATGAGTATGTATATGTATATATATGTGTATGTGTGTGGTATTACGACGTATACACCAAATTCCAAAATAGTTGGTATTTAACAAAACCACTATCGTTTATACCCTATCATAAATGCACCTACCTCATTCTTTCTCAGCACCGCCCAATCGGTCGACTGGCAGAGAATGCCTTAGGCATTAAGTCCGCCGATGCATGTACTTGTGCAAAAAGTTAACAATAAATAAATAAAGGCTGTTGATGAAACGTCGATTAATAAAAAAACAAAATTATTAACTAATAATTTATTTACGACTAAAATTAACTACCACAATTCAGTACTCAGTTTACAATATATTTAGTTATTAATTGTATATGTTATACCTGTCATTTAATATTTTGAGAAGCATCTTTAAAATTGCAAAATAGTTAAAAAAAATGAATATTCAAATTAATATACACTCAATGTAATACAAATAGCAAATTTATCGCAATTATTGAATAACTAAATATATAAAACATAATTTCTGTCAAGTTGCAGATTAATTAATGAAAATGGATAACTAACAACATGATGAGTTAAATTTACAAATGCAGTTCACGTCCCGATTCTCCGACCGCGGACTGTAGCCTTTGTATGGTCGTTTTGTTTAAGTCCTCTGTTTTTAGACCTGCCTTAAGGGCAGAGTTGAAAGTTTCTTGAGCTTCTTGAAGTTTATTTTCAACCAAATAATAATTTACTAGACGGGAATAAGCATTACCCAAAGAACCGTTAGAGATTGGTGAGCTTGTCTTCAATAAATTGATAAGTTTTTCGATTAGTTGCGGTTCTTTTCTTAAGTGACTTTCTTGTAATAGCCTTCTGAACACCACTGTTGGTGCAGTGCTTAACCATTTTGTCCAAATAGCATTGGATTCTTTCTCTTTACCGCACAAAAGCAGTTCCATCCACAATAGATTGATTGGCAAAATATATCCTCTTGATGCGGCAATTTCGGCAATTTGGGTACCTGTGGCAAGACGTTCGGTATTAATATTACTTATATTTTAACTAAGAAATAAGGTTAAAATTGGAGCATAGAAAAAATGTACCTTAGGAATTGTGTTTTACAACGAATAAGTATGAAATTAAATTCAAATAAAATAATAAAATCATAATCATATTATTTTATTATGATAAAAATAAACAAACTTAATGTGGATAGTGGATATGCAATAAATACCATGCTATACACCCAATGAGTACTTACATTTATCAACAAGCTTCTCGTCTTGAACGACGGTTGCCAAAGCATTACTCCTCGGGAAGTGTTTCAAAGCATTTTCCAAATCCTCGTCAGTTTTAGCAGCTTGGACGGACTCCATCAAATTGTCGATGTGTTGAGAGCCAGCTCCTCTTGCGAAAATTGCATGCGTCAATTTGTCGTTATATGTCACACGGCGTTTTAGTGACTCATTTATTTGTTTCCCCAGTTGTTGAATTTTTTCAACATGACCTCCTTCTGCTAAAGATTTCAGCAAGAACTTTAGAACATTACTTTTTGGTATAACACCATGGTCTATAGATTTGATAGCGAAGTCCGTAGCTTGCGATAGATCGCCATTTTTCGTCAAGGTCTCGATGTTGATAGATACATCATTTTTGGTAGGTTTAGTGAGTTCTTTTTTTGTTACAATCTTTTCGACGACATTCTTAGGCTTAATAGTTTTGACACTCTTATCTTCAGGGATAACGAATGGTACTTGTCTGTTTTTAGACTTGAGGTGTTGCCCAAGGTATTTGAGGAATTGCTCGCTAGGTACTTCACCGTCTTCTTGTAGTACAGTCCAAAGGCCAAGTGCTTTGTCAGTCTCATCAGCCTTGCAGTATGTTACGAGTAAATGATAGAAAATGTTACTACGGTCTATATGTGATAATTCTTTTGTGGCTTCGAGTAACCCTTCTAAATATTCCGACTTTCCTTCCTGTAAAAAAATATTATGCAATGTAAGTTTTTTTATGGAATAAGGGGTAAAATAACAGACGGTTCAACTGATGGTAAGTGACTCGGTAGTCACTTATCACGTAGCACCCAGTGCCATTACAACTTAAGAGCGTTGCCGCGCTTTCAGTACTTCGCTCCCTGAATTATAAGGCAGGGAGGAGGGTGGCTTTCGGTAACCACTTAGTAAAAAGCAAAGAAAGAATTAAAACTCAGTAGTATTTGGAAAATACTTCTCTCCATTGTTAGCCCTGTGAATCACAAATACTTTATCGAAGATGTACTAGTACTATAGAATATGAATTACATTAATTAACAATCACTATGATGTGGATAATTATGGTCATACTTCGAACCTACGACGTGTCCGAAGTGTTTTGTAGTGGTCTGTATATGATACCAAGTACACTGAGTCCAGTGTATCCAGTCCAGTGAACCAGTCGGTTATTTAGAAGAACTAACTTACAAAAGTATGTTGTTTCTTTACATTGCAAATTGCACACTTAGCACACACCATATATTCATTGTAGTTCACTGACTAAAATTTTTGCTAAGTCTATGCTTAGCCTAACTCAAAACGTGATGGCTCAAGAGATAGAATTAATAAAAAATCTTTACATCAACATATCTCTGGCAGGCGTCCTCCAATCGGCGGTTGCGAGTCTGCAATCCTGGTGTTTCTAATATGCGGCGAGCTTGACGTAAACGGCCACATTCAATAAATGCTAATACCAAGTCATGAAGTATATTTACTTCGCCATGAACCTGAAACCATTTTAAGTACAAGACTAAAACAATATACATATAAATGAGTGCAGTGGTAGCGTATGCGACTTCTGTGCTGAGTGCTGCCTTCAGTTTGATTTCCGGATCGGACTAAATGTTTGTACGATCTGTAAATATTTGTTTCGGAGTTTGGGTGTTTTCTATGTACAATATGTATGTATTTACGAAAAAGAAGTATATAAGTATTCTGTCAGTCAATCTATCAAGCTTTCATAGTACTAACTCCGTTTTATTTGAAACTAGATGGCGTTGTATCAGATGTCCGAAAAAAAATCCTGCATTTTCAGTGATATTTAAAGAAGGATCTATAGTTAGCTCAATGCAAAAAAAAAAACACAATACAAATTATAAATATTGCATAATTATATTCTCAATGAACCTAAGAGATTCTAACGCAAATAATTGATATGTTCTTTTGTTAACTACATGTTTTACCACTACAGGTTTGTACAAACTCCATTTTCAAAATAAATGCTATCTGCCAGTAAAGGTCAATCAACCGACAAGTATTTTTTAAATTGTACCATGTAAACATTCCAATGCATATAGTAGAAACCTGTTATGATATTGCCAACAGACACTCATTTTTGTAAAAACTTTTCAGTATTAACCCACAAAATCATCAACAGCCTATACTAGTCAGTGGACTAGTATAGGCTGTTGGCCTATGGAGAGGCCTATGTCCAGCAGTGGCTGGACATAGGCCTCTCCTTAGAAAGGCGGTTTTGGCCTACTATACCACGCTGGCCAGACGGGTTGGTATAGGGTTTCTTTCAAGTTTTCCTTCTCTTTGCAGTGCTGTTGTCCTGCTTAGTTTGCTCCCTTAATCGGCTCTTACGACACCCACGGGATGAATTGGGGTGGTGACAATTTGTATTCTTAATCCGTCACCACACGGACCCACAAAATAGGATTTTTTAATAAAACTAAGTCATACCTGGGTGCTAAGGTCAGCTAACCATTGCAGTTTAGTGGCATCTTCTTTCAAGATAAGCGCTTTCATCAATTCTCCCTTCCAAGGAGTTGATCTATATTGTTTACAGAAGTGTTCAAACGTTTTCAGAGCACTGTCAATATCTTCCTTTAGTAGATGCACTTTAATTGAAGGCCCCAATATAATATTAGAAGGCTCTATGTAGTTGCATGAAATAAGAGTATTTGTCAGTTCTGTCACCTAAAAAAAGAAATGTTTATTAAAAATAGTAAGCAATAACCTAAACAATAATTATTGATTTAATGATTTTGGAATGTTTCTGGATGGAAGGAAGGAATAGAAGATTTCTGTTTTAGGGTCCACTAACACAGAAATCTCATGAACATCACTATTTCATTTATTTATTTACACATCATGCACTTTTGATGCATTGGCGGACCTAACGCTTAAGGCATTCGCTACCAGTCAACAACTTTCATTTTAAATAATACAAGTGTATGTGTTGGGTAAAAATAGAATTCATCGAATTTATTATGTGTGCATTATCAATACCAAAGTCAGTTATAATTTGTTTCTTCTATGATGATGTAGTGATAGTTTTCTGTTTGTTTTAGTCCTAATATTATATTTAGTTGCTACTTACTTTTTCATCATTCTTCTGTTCCGCTAATGTATTTAACATCTGCCAACACTTTGAGTTGACCATAAAACCTGAGGCATCAGCAACATCTGTTTGCTTATGTTTTTTTAAATACTCGATTGCTTCGTCAATTCTGTTCGCTCTAACCAAAGCATACGCCATCAGTACCAATTTATATTTATTCAGTAAGAAATTAGGACTTCTTTTTTCAATTTCTGTCTTGCATTCTTCAGCTTTTTGAATTTCATCATTTTCGCAATAAAATTCAAATAGTTGTGCCAGTGTTGGGGTTGTAATTTCAAAGTTTGATGCTTTTAGTTCCTCAATGTGTGTATTCAACTTTTTAAGATTGTTCTCCTTAATGTAAGCCAAAAGAAGTTGTTTTTGTAAGCGTGTCAAGTTTGTATTACCTTTATTTTTCAGCGACGCATATTGAGCTTCCATTTGAGCAGTTGTAAGTTCACCAACATCAACTCTGCGCGGCCCTTCAATTGGCGCCACATCTAATTCCGATGACGTTAGCTTGAAGAGCAACTGTGATAAATTTGTAGTCATACTTTCACCAAGATATTGCTCTAACATTTCTGCTGCCTCAGTATTAATCCTTAAACCCTTGTCATAAATACCCTGTAGAAGTTTCTCACAAGAGTCAGGTTTATTTAAATTTTTAATTGCAGTTTTCACAATACGACTAACTTCAGCAATGACGTTATTATCCTCACTTAGGGAGTCATCGTTTACAGAATCTTCTTCAAGTTGTGAACTACGCCCTTTACTACTTATTACATGTAATATGGATACAAACGAATCAATATCTTTTGTTTTACTCAAAGCAGTTATTAGAGAACGAGCAACAAGAGCATAATTACCCCATGGTCGATATTGTAACGCAATTTCTGCTGCTTTCCTAATGTTTCCAACTTCCAAAAGTTCAACCATTACGTTTCTGGCACTGTAAATTATTGGGACATTGGCAATTTGTAATTTCAGTATAACATTCTGTGGAGTATCATTTTTAATTAGGAAAGGGATAACATAATCTCTGAGGGCTTCACCAGTTGGTGGCATATTATTGCTAGCCATATCTCGTAGCATTTGAAGCATACCTTCTTCATCATTTTCTTTTCCTTTCTGAACTAAGAGTGGCCAGTAATAATGCTGTCTAATTTCGACTCCTTCTTTTTTCAATTCACTAAACAGTTTTTGGGCCAATTCACTTTGCCCATTAGCTAGAGCTGCTTCAGTGGCTATGTAGATAGCATTAGGTATTAATCCTTCACTTTGCAGTTCCCTGCAGGTTTTGATTACATCCTCGACAGGTTTATTCAGTCGTAACAATTGTTTGACGAAGAATGCACCCTTAAATATTGTGTCTTCGGTATTTGGTGATTTTGGCATCGTTTTCATGACCATTTTAGCTGTTTTATCCTGTCCTTTATTAAGAAGTCTTAGAATAAGATTACATGCATCCTGGTTGTATCCAGCACTTTTTTGGAGGTGGGGGAACAACTGATCTACTTTGTCACCATGTCCACTAACTGCAAGATGTTCGACGATATCCATAATATCCTAAAATTATAATACACTTGTATTACAATTTATAAAATGTTATTGATTATTCTATAATTATACGGCAATGTTTTAAATTTAGAAACATTATGAATTTAATGAACAGGTTGAACGGTATTTTATTAATACGCATTCTTTTGTTATTGAAAAAACCTACCTTATCAGTCAAGACATCCTCTTTGTCTTTCGCCATTTTGATTGTCTTTTCGATGCCATCTATATCACCCTCTTTAGCATATCCACAAGCAAGTAGAGTATAGGTTCTATTAGTAGGTTCTAAGCCTGCTCCTGCCATAGTTTCCAACACAGCTTTTGCACCTTCTGTGTCCCCATGGAATGCATGTCCCATGACCAGAGCATTTAAGACTGGTTCTGAGACAGGCATATTGAGTTCTCTCATTTTTTCTAGAACTCTCGTTGCGCCTTCAACGTCGCCTTCTTGGCAATACCTCCACATCAATCGTTGATATGTTACTCTAGAAAATTAAAATATTATCTATACATCTTCATTTAAGTCTTTGTTCGTGTAAATATAAACTATGCCTATACTTTTAGTTTATGGTTTAAGTTTGTGTTTAAACCTCAAATTCTAAGTTGTTTAAAACCTAACTTGTAATAAACAGTTTGCAGAAGTAAATACCAAAAAGAAAGAAATTTTATTTATTGTAAACTTAGATTTGTTACTTAATTATTTTTTATCATCAAACCATAACATTAGATTGAATTATTTGTCACTTGTAAAATATTAAATTTTCCTAAACTTGAACATGAACAACCATAACATTGATGTCAAAAATATTTAATTGATGTTCAATTAAATACCTTTTACATCAAAATAATTATTGTAATGCAAACAAACCACATCTTAAAAAAAAACAGTACTAAAAATAATTTTCAAATATGCATCAATACTATATTATTCTTTTTTTCTGTAATGAACAAAAAAAGTTGTCTAACGTTCGGAAATATATTATTTTCCTTTAATTAACAAAATATACTAATTTCACATCAAATGAACATGAGCGTACAAACGTAATACTCACACATATAACTACTCCATCAGAAATTACTCAAATTGTTGTTAAAATAATAATATTTTGAGGTAAATATTTTGTAGTGCAATCAGTATTTTAGATATGCTTTTTTTTAAGTAATTAAAAAAAAGGAAGATTTTTGATTTACTGCTAAATACTAGCCCATATATAATAATACAGGTAGTTTGTCACTTAGACCTTACATATTACTCATTACTTATTGATGTTAAAAGCTTTTTTACTATGTATTACCTGTTGGGTTGCAATCCCTTCTTTTCCAACTCTTCAAGGAACATGGCTGGTGAGAATGGATGCTCATTTTCAATGTAAACCCTCAGTAAAGCATTGTAGTGAGAGATATCCATAGGAATTCCACGCTCAGTCAGAACACCCCAAATCTTTTGTACCAGAAGGGTTCTTTGTTCTGGTAATTCTTCTGGCACAAGTTCCCCTGTTTTTAAAATAAATGTAGTTATTGATTGGTTTAATACTTTAGCATTCATATTCTGTAAGATAATAAATGTAGCACTGGACTATAATCGACATGGTGTGATGGTGTTGTGTAAGTGTGTGTGCATGTGTGCACGTGTGAGTGTAGCTATTTTAGTTTGAACAATGTTCCTTTCATCCTTGTGAGCTTGGTGATCTTAAGCTAATCTGTAACTTGAGTGACAGAGGCAAGAAAAGAATGACCATTGTTGGCTTTTAGATTTAAAGATATATTACATGAGTAAATGACATTTCAAATTCTGGTACAATATTTATAAATATCCTAAGTCTGCAAACTGATGTAATTGAAATGTCCAGCAATATTGTTAGTTTTTTCATATTATCTGTTTTTTTCATATTGTTTGATTTGTCATATAGTCTCTGTGACAGCTGTTTACAGTTGTAAAACTTAACTGCCTGGTTTAATTATCTCTACTTACATCAGCAGTACAAAACAAAAGGTTTATCCTGATACAGATCTATTAGACAGTTTAATCAGGTATGAACTTTTTCCCACATTAAAAAATTCTATGTACTGCAACAGTTAATATTAGAAAGAGTTATTTAAGACTACAAACAACATATAAGTGTTACAACAACTATAGAAACATACTTACCACAGCAACGAATAACAAGTAGGGATTGTGAACTAGTGATGTCATTTTTTGATCTAATCTCATCAAAAACTTCATCGATGTCTTTCTTAGTGATTCTTCCAAATCTTCTTACTTCCAAGTCCAGTTTCTGGAGCAAGGGCTCTAAACTTTCAGGTTTCTTTGATGTTGCATAGTCTCTCAGCAAAACACTACAATAATTTTATAAAATAATATAATGATTATTACATTACAAATATTCTTTGTTATATACATAGCATTACATTTAATGCTATTTATATAAGCTGTATAGAGCTTATTATTATTATCCCATTGGATAATAATAATAATAAGCTCACATATCTCACACATAGCTGTCTGATCCCAAACTAGGCCGAGTGTATCTTCTGCTAACTACACTATTGTATCTCTACACATAGATATTTTGTGATAAATTACACCCAGACAGAACAAACTATTATGCTCATCACGCTATTATTTGTCCTGGGTGGGAATCAAAACCTCCTGCCAAGAGAGGTCACCCTCTGGCTTAGCACTTAAGATTGCTAACAGTTACACTAAGAGGCCCTTCAAAAAATACTAAAATACACTAGAAAGCTTTATAAACGTTTTTCTAGCTAGTATTTAGTACAGGCGTTTGGGTTTATTGCATACTATACTGAATTATGTACTTACAGGCAGAAGTAAACCTTATTCCGGGTATACATATACTTATTAAATACGGAGTAGTAAATAATTCATACTCATACGGTTTAATGATACTTACTTATTAGCAGCACTTAATGCTTTTGAATTAATCAACAAATTGCCTTCAGCGGTCTTGGCAGAGTTGAGAATAAGCGTTCTCGCTGCACCAGTAAAATATCGTACAAATTTCGTAGAGCGTAAAAGCGACGACATTGTACTGCGGCTATAGATCTTTTAACACATTAATAACTTAATTTTGCTTTTATAACTGAGAAAATCACAGAAGTCCCATCAAGCCTGCTAGGACAAAGATAAAAGGAATATTTTGAGGTTATGTTGAAGTTATGTCATATGTCAATTGCTTTACGCTAAGGTGTTACTAGAAATTAAAATTTCTTATTTATTTATTTAAACTTTAATGCATATTAAATTTTGGTGGTGGCATACTTATGCTGAAAATGTCTGCCATTCCATCTTTCGCTAAGGCGGAGAAAAGAACAAGCACTCAATAACATATTAGTATAAACTGTATAAAACTAAATGATATACGAACTAAAAGGAATTGTCCACTAATGGTTTGTTGTTCTTGAAAGTACCAGAAGTACAGAAGTAATAGATTTCCTAAATACTAATAATATAATTAATAAAATGAATTAAAAAAAAAATCGGTTGTCTGTAAAGTCGGTTTACTGACGATAGTTGAACGTGACAACGTCATAAGAAAATACTGATGGAATGGTTGCATTTTACGAAAACATGTAAATGTATTATTGTATAGCAGCTGTCCACGCGGACGCATCGCTCACTCAAGTAGGAGAGAGACAGATGTCAAACGCTGCCGAAGGCGGTGGCCGATTGTGCGCTTGCACTTCAAGGCTTAAATGGAACGCCTCAGAGCGAGGTAACGCCGCATCAGTCATGTTTTTTTGTGCGTGCAGCCGGCTCCATCGAATTATAAGACGTTGTCACGTCAAAAATTGTAACATCGTTTTTACTTTGTCATATCGTTACATGTAAAAAGATGCAAGTCTCGCAACGCAGTTCTTCAAAACAAAAAAGTTTTAAGATGCAATGTTAAACCAAGACATGCTTATAAAAAAAATTGTTAAGTTTCAAAATCAATCTTAACATGGTAAGTTACTTTTTCCTAATTCGAAATCACTAAAATCGATATATCTTTACTATCGTCTGGATGACTTGAAATATATTTTTCAATTCATTGTTATTGTATAATAATATTAGTTAATAATTGTTTATATCACGATGTTAGCAAGAATAACCTCATCTATTTGAATGAACAGATCGTAATTCGTAGATAGAGAGAGTGAAAAAATTTTGATTCTCCAATAATGCCATTTCACTCGCACTCTTATCGGACAGTATCTTTAGGAGTAAGCAAGTAAGCAGTAGTCCTCTCTTTTTAACTCGGGTCTTGAAACTACGGCGTAGAATTTGTCATTTTTTATACTTGTATAAATTCTTACCTGCCAAAATATATACTAGGAAAAATTTGTTTCAATCGAACGAAAAAAAAGGTAAGATAATTTTTTTTCAGAACTTTTAAGCACTTGTATTTTTTTGTTTAACATTAAAAAAATCTGTGGAGGAACGGGTGTCATGTCCCTCCACAGATTTTTGCGAGGCGAGGTGATCATGCCTGGCGGGCCGCGGCCCAACGGTTGATGTTGGGAAGTTGTATATATGCTAATCGGCGAGTGAATTCTTTATATCGCGATACAGGATTAGCAATTCTTATTTTTAGTAGTTACTCCGTAGTTCGGTGTGTCTTCATTAGATGGCGCTGTAGTATGTTTATGTGGGAGTCGCCACATCACTCCCCTCCAAGACCGGAGGTCGATATATGATGAGTCAGCTGTCTATGCCCTGTTGTGGAGCGTGCCAGTGCCAGTAGTGAGTAGTTCCAGTGAGTCGGAACTGAGTGCCGCTAGTTCCAGTGGGTCGGAACTGAGTGCCGCTAGCCCCAGTGAGTCGGGGCTTAAGTCCGCTGATCCCAGTGAGTCGGGATAGCGTGCGGTGCGCGGTGCTGCGGTGAAGTCCCCAGTGAGTCGGGGCGGTTGCTGCGTAGTGGCTGGCTGCTGCGTAGACGGGAGAGAAAATGCTCTTCTTACGTGGACCGTAGGTGCAGTGTGCTGTGCCTAGACGCTGATGAGGCCGTAGAGGTAACCAGGCTGGAGCGGTCGCTACCTGCGTGTGGTATCCCTGTAGAGGCCGAGGTTGCTGGCTGGCTGAGACTTGATTACTGCTCATCGCTGTGGGAGTGTACACGATGGTGCTGCTGATGATCTGCTCCTTTTTGAAGGCTGCTTCCAATCACGTCGGGGTCACTACTGTGGAGGAACGGGTGTCATGTCCCTCCAACACAAAGGGAGGATCCTCCGACCAGGCGAGGTGATCATGCCTGGCGGGCCGCGGCCCGACGGTTGATGTTGGGAAGTTGTATATATGCTAATCGGCGAGTGAATTCTTTATATCGCGATACAGGATTAGCAATTCTTATTTTTAGTAGTTACTCCGTAGTTCGGTGTGTCTTCATTAGATGGCGCTGTAGTATGTTTATGTGGGAGTCGCCACAAATCTATTTCTCTTAAATGAAAGATTAGATTTTTTTAAGCAATCTCAAAAAAAATTGAGGGCATTTTTCTGCTACCTACGATTTTTAAAATTTAAGTTATATACAATCCTTTAAACTTAAACCGCCTTAACTCGGTTAATTTTCACCGTAGCAAAAAAGTCAAAGGACCTTTTTATGTTAAATTTTAAGCTCTACTCTTTGGAACTCTCTCTCTATTTTCAACTTTTTTGTCTAACTTTTACCGTTTTCGAGTTCAAAACTTTTGTTTTTTTTTTACTACACATGGTTTTCATATCATTAAATCTAGATTATATCAAAAATGCAAAGTTGAGTCACATAAATTTAGATTTTAGACCTTATTGGAATAGGGGTGGTGACACTTCGTAATCTTAATTCGTTACCACACGCAAAAAAAGTAAAAAATACTTAGCCTTACAATTTACTTGGCCACCTTATTTATATTCGTATAACATATATAACTAAATATAACGTAGAGATGTGGCTTCACTCTGCACTCTCTATCGCATATATCATCGAGAGTGCTCGGAGGAATTCTTCGGACTAATACCAGCCGCAACTTTCCGCCATCGTTCCACACGGCAAAATTTTCATCCTCATTACCCGGATAGTTGGCGCTCCACTACTGTGCGCTTTTCGAGACACTTTTTGCCCCGCACAATCAATCTGTAGAACGGGTTATCGTCTGCGGTATTTCCGGACCGATACGACCTTCAAACCTTCAAGAAAAGAGCGTACTCCTTCCTAAAAGTCTGGCAACGCGTTTGTGACTCCTGAATAGCAGACGTTCATGGGCGGCGATTGTCACTTTCCCTCAGGTGACCCGTGTGCTCGTCTGCCCCCTCTAACATAAAAAAAAACATGTGTTTAATTTTCAAGTTTGAATTTAAAAAAATGTACATTGAAATATAATTGGCGTGAATTTATTGGAGATATAAGCAGAGAGTAAACAAAAGCCCCAATCTTATCGTAAAGTGGGCACTTTACGATAGCCAGAGACAAAAGGAAAGCTTTAGTATAGCTGTAATGTCATACGATCATGAAACAATAGAAGCATTTAGTAGTTAAGTGAACTAGAGCCGAGTTAATAATCCTTTTCTTCAGAACATATCCTATTGCAATTTTTAAGTTATGTTTCTTAAAAAGTACAGTATAAAATATAAAAGTGATATACAAAAAGGAAAACTTTAAAAATAATAAGTTTAGACCTCCTGAAACTACATTTACTAACTACAATATCTTATTGCTATGTACCTATCTAGGTTTTTATCAAAACATTTATAAAATATGTACTCTTTTATTTCACCAATGAGAATAAAACTCTACATTACGACTGTCACGTTGTAATCTTGTCATAGATCTCACTGAGCTGTCAATCTCTATATTCTAACTGGCGATTCGCCGAGTTCACTAGTCTCTATTTCACTGTTAAACGTGGATTCTTGTTGGAATTGAATTCAGGAGAGTGAGTCCCACCAAGTCAACCAAAAAACAAACTGTTGTACTTTTTTAAACTAACCTGCCTTCTATAATTAAACAAAAAATGGTAAGTGGTTTTGTGTTGTTAAATTTCATTGACTTTGATATGACCTTAGATTTGTTTTCAATTAAACCGGTGTGTTATGAAATAAAAGAGGATTAATAAAGTAATTTTTGTAAATTTTCTACCAATTAGCAAAATTTACAGTTTAATGGAAATCTGGCATCCTGTTTTTAACTGACTTGAAAAAAGAGGACATTCTCAATTATATTTTTTTTTTAATAAAATAGGTTTTATCGAAGGTGGTTTCCATTTAAATTTAATGAAAATATCCCACTTTTAATGGAGTAAAATTAAGGAATAAATATACAGCTCCATACAATACATACATCATGACTATTTAAGTCAGTTTCAGTCAACTTTTAAAAGTTAATTATCTTATCTCATAAGTAATAAGAATTTAAATATTTTCACATATATTAGTGAAATATTTATACAATGCATAAATGTGAAATGCTTAGTCAAACTCCATATGCAGCAACATACATTCTATTTCAATGAGAAGAAGGATCATTTTCGTTTAGATCATTAAATATTAGAATTGAGGCTAGCAATATCTGATAAGAATAAAATTATCTCTGTTCTATTTATTGTGAATAACAGTATGCAGCAGCAGCAAAAACAGCCTATAATAGTCCACTGCTGGACATAGGCCTCTCCTTAGAAACAAGTTTTTCGCCTACTATACGCGCTGGTCAGACACGGGATAGGGTTTGTGTCAAGTTTTCCTTCTCTTTGCAGTGCTGTTGTCCTGCTGAATAACAGTATGTTTAAGTAAAATTAAAAAACTTCTCATATAAAGAATAAATATAATTGCTAATAAAGGAAAATGAAGTGAATAACTGTTTAGAAATGTTGGTTTTATTAAGTTAATAAAGTGTTTTAATAAAGGAAAGCCATGTATATTTCTTTAAGCAATTTTATTTTCTTATTTTTTTTGTATTACCTTTAGCTATAATAATTAAACATTATCATGGCTTTTACATTCCTTTATTTTTTATATTAAAATATATTAACAAATTTTTAAATGAAGCTTTAATTCTCTCTATTGTTATTTTATATGGGATAATTACATAATTATCTAATTGACACCCATTTTTTACCTCAAAGGATTTGTAATATTTAGTTTTCATTTCCAGGCTGAACCTATCAAAGTTGTTGTAACTGGAGCTGCAGGCCAGATTGCATATTCCCTACTTTACCAAGTTGCTTCTGGCGCTGTATTTGGCCCCAACCAACCAGTATACCTTCACCTTCTTGATATTGCCCCAATGATGGGTGTCCTCGAAGGGGTGGTAATGGAGCTGGCTGATTGCGCCTTACCCCTGCTTGCCGGTGTCTTGCCTACTTGCAAACCTGAGGAAGCCTTCAAAGATGTTGCTGCTGCGTTTTTAGTTGGAGCCATGCCCAGGAAAGAAGGCATGGAAAGGAAAGACCTCTTGGCTGCAAATGTTCGTATTTTCAAAGAACAAGGTCAAGCTTTAGATAAAGTAGCACGTAAGGATGTCAAAGTTCTAGTTGTTGGCAATCCTGCTAACACCAATGCTCTCATTTGTTCCAAGTACGCTCCATCTATTCCAAAAGAGAATTTCACTGCTATGACTCGTCTTGACCAAAACCGTGCCTCGTCACAATTGGCTGCGAAATTAGGTGTACCAGTACAGAATGTAAAAAATGTAATCATTTGGGGTAACCACTCATCTACTCAGTACCCTGATGCTTCACACAGTATTGTAAAAGTTGGTGGTGCTGAAAAACCAATTCCAGAAGTTGTCAATGATGATGAATATTTGAAATCATCCTTTGTCAGTACTGTTCAAAAGCGAGGTGCTGCAGTCATAGCCGCAAGAAAGATGTCATCAGCCCTCTCTGCAGCAAAAGCAGCATCTGACCACATGAGGGATTGGTTCTTAGGTAGTGGTGACCGCTGGGTGAGCATGGGGGTTGTATCTGATGGTTCTTATGGAACTCCTCGTGATGTTGTATTTTCGTTCCCTGTCACAACTGAAAATGGGAAATGGAAGATTGTTCAGGGTTTAACAATTAGTGACCATGGTCGTCAAATGCTCGATGTTACAGGCAAGGAGCTTTCTGAAGAAAAGCAGGAAGCCCTAGATGTCTGCAAGGATTGAATGAAGTAAAGATATGTATTAAGAGAAAGTACAGTGGTAGAAATTGAAACATGCAACACATTTATTTTAAATTTAACAAAAAACTGATATACTTTAGCCTATATTACACATAGCTCCTATAAGCACAGCTTTATGTTATTGCTGAACTTTATTCATAGTACAATCGTATTAAATATTCTATATTTTTTTATTTTTATATGTATTTAAAATATATGTTTGTGTTTTAGACATTTTAGTTTTTCTTCTCATAGTAAGAATTTGCCTTACAATATTGTATGTAACGTAATGTAGATAAGATAACAATTATAGGTTATTGAAGGCCATTTGACAAATGTTTTATCTCACATGCTTAATTTAAATTTTGCCAAATAGATGTTTTACTATGTTTATTTTCTGTTTATGTGCCTCTAGTTGTGATAGACAATTTTTTTCGAACAGTCAGGCAGAAATACGCGTGTTAATAGCCTATTGGTAACTGTAGTAATATAGATTTAATTCGATTTTATACATACTCGCAGTACCTTAGTTACGTGCTATCGTCTCTTTATTGCATGATAAATGTTATTATATCAGACCTGATAAGATTATGACGTGAATACCAACGTATTTTTTACAGACTTAACTGAAGTTAATTTACGTACTTGTGGCCTGTGACGATTTTGTGGAATTTGTCGTCCGAACAGATACTCGTACAGACCCGAGAGGCAGCGCAGTGTTCCGTGTAAGCTTCTAGAGGACTACGACCGAAGGCTGACGAGACCTGTCTTGGTGAAACGGGTCAATGCCTGTCAGGGGTGGCAGGAGAATGCAATTGCGATTCTCGCTCCCAAGGCCATTGGCAAGAAGAAGAACACCGGGATTATTTTTAGTCGGTATGAGTCCGATAGACCCCTTTGCCACCCCCCAATGGGTGAAGGACATTCATGAGGATCTTTCACCCCCTTAACAAAAAAAAAAGTATCTGAATTCGGTTGTCTCGTCTGCCGCCACAACAATTCGCAACGTAGTAAAATACAGTTCATAAAGTTAGGGCCCGCGACGTTTCGTTCTTACAGAGCCTAGTGTGAATTTATTTCGGCGAGCGCGTTCGGCGTGGCATTGGTGAAGATTTCAGTGCGGGCTAATCGCAACTCCGAATGCCGTTACCGCGCGAACTGTAACAATCTAGTGGATGTGAAAGAAACTCACACTAGGCCCTCAGTACACCCCAAGCGTTTTTCACACGCAAAATGAGTTCATGACCGTTCATCCGCCCCTGAGACTTCACATCACACATCACATCAACAGCCTATACTAGTACACTGCTGGACATAGGCCTCTCCTTAGAAAGGAGGTTTTGGCCTACTATACCATGCTGGCCAGACGGGTTGGTATAGGGTTTGTTTCAAGTTTTCCTTCTTTTCCCTGAGACTTGTCAACTTGAAATCATTAATTAAGCTGATAAAGGCAAACCAGTCAAGAAGGAGTTCCTACATCTGTTTTTGATACTATGGTAGGTATAGGAGGCTAACGAGCATACGGGTTACCTGGTGGTAAGTGACTACCGACGCCCATTGACAAATGCAACTTGAAGAGACACAAGGGCGTTGCCGTTTTTTGCAATCCGGTAGAGCCGGATAGTAGGGATTTACTAATTAAAAGAATTACTACAAACAGTATTTAACTCTGAGGTAGGAATCACCAAATACTTGAGAAACCTAGAGAATTTATCTAAACACCACTTTTTTTACTACTTTTATCCTAACACAACTTTGTATCTGTAATTCAAATACAAGATGAAAATACGTATTTTGTATCTAAACTTCATTTACATGTACCTATCGTAAATAAGTTACATCTCCGTTTCATGACAGTATATTTAACATTTACGTCAAGTGGATTCCTGGTAGTCTACACCAGAATTGGCAGGAAGACAGCATTTAACTGTAAAAAAACTTACTTCATAACTTACCTAAATAAAAATTCGTCACATTACTATAAAACGGTTCATGAGATCTGCATGGTAACATAGTTGAACTCTACTCTAAATTCTACTTTCTTTTATTTTTGTCGTGAAAGATCTTGATCTTCCATTCACATTTATGTTTCTGATTTGAAATGGAAAGTTTATACTGAAATCAAGAAAGTGGAACAAAATTAATTGTAAGTATATCTATCTACTTATGAGATTTACTTGGTTCTAACTACTACTAACTAACTATCGTTTACGACTATGTTGCATTTAATTTAATTGGTAAATCGAAGAAATAAATAAATGACTATTATAATTTTAACCAACTAATCAGGAGTAGATGGGAGGTAAATTTTTCATAAGTCTCCAATTAGTTTTTATTTTTAACGTCGTTTCGGAAACTTACGTAACGTTAAGTACCGTATCGTGCTCAGCTGTGGTATGAAATGAACTCGAGTCTAACAGGAATTTACAGAAGGAAAATAAAATTGTAATGATATAATATGCAACCAGCCCACCCCAGGTGTCACGAACTTATTTTTTCAAATAAAATGTTGTTTGTAGAGGTTATTATTATTACTTGATTTTGTTTTGGTCATCCATATCCGCCAAGAGGCAACATTTTGTGAAGCTATCGATTGACTATGGTTAACTATTAGATTGTCGCAAGATTGACGCACTGGAAATGTGGTATTGGACACGTCTGCTCAGAATTCTGTCGGATCGCACCAACCTTTCAATCCTGAGAGAGCTCAACATCAAAGAGATACTTATTGTCAACTGTGCAAACGAATACATAAGTGCCTCGGGCATATCATCCGTAATGTGGACTCCATGGAACGGCTAGTGACCTAGTGACCTAGTGGCTAGAGACCTTGTGGCGTTGCACATCACTACGCGTGCCCGTAGCTATTGTTACACCATTCTTCAATGCGATGACGTACCTACTCGTAGTTTAGCTCCCGGAAACATTCTATTACAGTCAAGTAGACATGGAAATTATTGCTACTTTTAAATCATATTCACAATATTTATACACAAGGATAAATGGCATTAAAATCAATCGAAATTCTTTTTATCGAAAATTATTTAGAACTCGCGTGTCTTGCGCTAGCGTAATAATAATAATTAAGTCGCAGTGGTTATGCAAATCAGTCACAGTTTTGACGACACGATTATCAATCATATGATTTATCACATGTGATTGAGATTTATTCCACCAATTCAATTCAATTGATTCCAAGTGGTTCGAAACACGAACACACGGCTCGTTCAAATATTGTTGTTAGCCACTTAATAATAGTGCTGGTGTCTGTTAATTCGCGTTCGTGAACTACAAATACAGAGAACATAATTATATGAAAATCAAGTGGTTTTCTTTTGGACCCTTTTTTTTCTGTACGGAAATCCCCTCGGATATCACCCACCGGTGGGGTGATTATGTCGGACTCGAACCGACTAAAAACCGCACGCCGTCTTGGGTACCAGTAGCCGGGGCCAGGTGTACCCTAGGCCATGAGTTTGTTTGCCCTTTTTTCTCATAAGGCTCAACCCCTTGGAAACGGGCGGTTGTAGATCGGCATAGGCATGTCATAGATTTTGTATGGGTTTGATTTTTGTTAAAATATTGTTGTTATGGCGATGCATGCATTGCGACAGATAAGACCATGACCATCAAGAGTTCAAGAATATTTACTTGATTTATAGGAATTATTTGGACTAAAGTCTAAATTTTAAGACTGCCATTGACATCTTTATGTAATTCAATGTAGTTACAACGAAATGTACTTGTCTAGCCTCATAGCAATGTGTTTCGAATAGATGGCGTTATACTATAACGTTGTTCACATTCTACATAGTGCAGACTTAATGAGTATGCTTAGAAAGTGGTAGATGGCGTTTTATTTGACATGATTGTTGGTTGGTTAGCGGTTCCAGTTACTGAAAAGCTTATGGGTTAGATTCCCATCAACGAGAAATAACTGCGTAATAAACACGACAATTTGTTCTGTGTCTAGGTTTAATTTATCTATAACGTTTATATATTTTATAGATAAAAAATAACAACTATGTGTTTAGAAATATATCAGTATGTTTACCAGCACTCGGGTTATCATAGTAGGTACAGGCTCTGCGTAGTTAGCGATCAGACGAGCGTCTATGAGATGTCACGTTATTATTATATCAGTATAGTAGGCCAAAACCTTTCTAAGGAGAGGCCTTGTCCAGCAGTGGACAAAGCCTCTGCTTAGTAAGGTAATTGTTGTTGTTGTTGATGATGATGATACCACGCTGGTCAATCTGGCCAGACGGGTTGATATAGGGTATGTGTCAAGTTTTCCTTCTCTTTGCAGCGCTTTTGTCCTGCGTAGTCCTCCCTAGTCGCTTCTTACGACACCTACGGGTGATAAGTACTCCTTAAGAATAAAGAGTATCACACCCTATTTCGTCACCGCACGGATATTATTAAATTACTTAATTTTACAGTCAGAAGTCTTAAATGTCTATTGATAATGTAAATAAATTATTCAAGACCAGCAAGAAATAAGTTTTGTACATTGAAAGTTCTAGTTGGATCTGTTCACAATACAAAATATAAACAGACTCAAACAAGAACAAGAATGAGCTTTCTTATTTGTAAACATAATTACCTAGGAACGTATCTTCATAGAGATTGAAACAATGACAACCATTGTTTCAATCTCTATGATGTTCTACTAAAACTTGACTGCACGGATGGCGTAGTGGTTTAAGCGGTCGCCACGCCGCTTCCTACTACGCCGAGTGTTGTGGGTTCAAACCCCACATGGGACGACACTTTGTGTGATCCACAAATTGTTGTTCTGAGTCTGGGTGTTCTTTGTGTCCGTTTTATGTATGTTTGTAAAGTCCCCCGCGACACAGGATATTTTTCTAATGCGGGAGTTGTCTTTTTAAAAAAAAAAAAAAAAAAAATTATATTATATTTTTACGATCACAATTATTTGCATTTAATTGTTTAAGATATTTAATAAACATGTTTGAAGAACTTTCATGTGCTTAAAGCTAC